CACAAGTCAAAAACCAAGCAAGTTATTATTTAATGTACTCGTACAATTCTAATTAAAATATTAATATAATTTGTTTTTTAGTTTAAGTCAATTACATTTATAAAATTAATTATTAGTTATTACTTAAAATAACGAATAAAGAACGTATCGGTACGACGATATAACGACGAGGTCCAATTTTAGAAAATGCAAACATCATAGTATGACCATGAATCCCACACCAAGTTCACACAAACGCCGCAAAATAAACATATTGCATTCAAGTGCAAGATCGATCAAGTTCAAGGTCCGTGCGCGCGCCGCGTGACGTCAGCCATTCATGACACCCTCCACCCTCCATCCTCACACCCTCACCAGCACTCGGACGACGCACCCTCTGCCAATGTCAGGGATGGTTTCACGATGAAGGGTACTATGCTTTGGTTTAATTCAAAAGAGAATGATGTTATATACGTTTTCAAGAATTTCTCTAAAAAAATAAAAATATTTAAACAGTCTAGAATTGAAAACAAAACTAATATATATACTCCCGAAAAATTCGATGTGGAATGTTTAATAACAAAGCGTTGCTTAGCAACCAACGTCAGGCAGATGCTCAAAACATTTTTAGAAAGATGTATGTGCACCAATTCTTTTTGATGTTAATAAAAATTAAAATTGATGATTAATAATAAAATATTGAAGACAAACGACTAAGCACATTCTTGGTTATAATTATAATACTTATGATCATCATATATTGTAATGTTGTATAAGTTTAAGTTCCTTCTATTTTCGTTCGAACAACAATTCGCAAAAACAAATCGCTGGTTACCTTTGACTGCAACTATTGGTGATCGAGATTCGAGAGTAAAGGAAATTGCTGCAATAATCCTTTTAATTCACTCCGATTGCTTTATAACCTGACATTCCGTACGAATGACTTTACTTATGTCACTTGGACGTTGACATTTATATTGACATAAAATCATGAGCATTTCGTAAGTCATTATTTTGATAAGCTATAAACATTTTACTTTATTCTTTCTTAACATTTTTAAGAATTGTTATGCATAATGCATAAGTTCATTTAGTTTCTACCATACAAGGTTCAGAGCAAGAATTTTACCAAAATTAATAATGAATTCCTTATATTACTGACATATTCTAGTAGCTTCCATATTGCAAATAGCGTTACCTAGATAACAATTTAAAAAGCCACTGTTTTATTCAAAATGCATGGTTCTGAAGTAAATACTTTCCATATCCCAAAAAATATATTCTATATCATTCCAAAAATATATCTATTAAAAGATATATATCGTAATATTCAACCATCAAAATATGTATAAACCGGCGAGTGGGCGTCTGAACTCTGACGTCATCGCTCACCCCAAGGCCCAGTATCGATTCCCCCCTTACGCCAACTCAATGAAACACAGAATCATTGTTAACATACAGACGCTATTTCTATATAAACTATAAATACAACAGGAAAACGTACACTTTGCAAAAGAAATTTTGAATCAGATTTTAAGATTTAAATGAAAGCTTTATGATAGTCATTAAAGCTAGAAAAATATAAGGAAAACTAAGTAATTATACTATATGTTCAAAGGTGTTAATCGTATTTTAACAAATAATTAAGTAATACATATTACATGTATTATATTATTTAAAATAAAAGCCGTAACATATTACAAGTCCTTAAATCTTTGAATTCCAAAACATTAATTGTATGTCTTGGAATTTTATACTAAATAAGGTGTGTCTTCAGTGTGTTTCATGTTTATTTCGTAAGGTGAGGGTTTAAAGAAAATGGTCTTCTTAACAAATTTCATCCAATTCAACACATGCACATAGCTTTCGCAAGTGTAAATTGGTCCGCTTCCCACGGTATTTAGGGCTCGAACCAAACGCCGACGCGATTGTACTCATTCAATCTACAGGTGAAAGAACAATTTGTATTCTAATTGTAATATCATTTGCATATTAATACTTCCAGGGATATGTCTGTTTTCTTTTATTTATAAAATTAAATGTCATATTACTGCGTAATATTTTACTCGAGACATCTTTAATAATAAACTTAAAGCCAGTTGACACGTGGTACTAAATATAGAGAAAACATTTCACTAAAGAAATACTCTATAACTTGCATATGTGAAGCGTTAAAATTCTTCTTTATACATAATAGCAATATCTATTTGACACATAATATTTATTTTAAACCTTTAGGTATTTCTAAAAGGCGTTTTCAAACAAAGACTGCAGACGTCGGTAGTGACCTTAGCCGACCTCGACCTCGCCCTCCCGTGACGTCAGCATTGAAGGTGAACGAGAAAATATCTGCAGAGCTAAAGGTTACGCAAAAGATGCTCTTTTATTTTCATTTTACTACATAATAAATGGCATGTATTAATTATTTTACAATAACGACTCTAAAAGAAAGAATATTTGTATTATGTTTATCTGTAAAAACTATTTCGCGTTTGAAAGCCTGCTACCAAAAAAATTAAACAATAATAAATATAATAATATGTACATACATTATTTGGAATGGCCTAACATTCCCAAGTGCAAGTGTGACTTAGTCAATACGAAGGCGTGGTCGGACGCTTGCCAAAAAAACCGGTCACCGCCGGTCTTACCTATTAAGACTAAAACAATCGATTTGTGCCAAGTTCTTTAACCCAAAACACGTCACCATACACATTGTGGCCCTGGCTTATAAATGATAATTTTTAATGTGTACTACAAAATTTAATAGTTAAAAATGATTTCATTTGAATTAACTTGTAGAATAATCATTGAAATATAAATTAATATACGACATTTAAAATTAACGATTTTTATTTTAAAATTAGAACTCTACAATCCAATGGCACTCTAATTACTTAAAAAATTTTAAGTTCATGCAATTGAATTTAACTAAAAATAATGAAATAAAACAAATTACATACGTTTCTGGAAGTAAAACGTATTTTGTGACGTGTAAAAAATACTAAATGTCATTAGAAGTTTCCAGTCTCGTAATTTGACCGCCATTTCTACACAAAAGATGTCAGCTCATATAAAATTAACTTGGCAAGCGTTAAACATCTACACCTATTTCAAACTAGTGGACTTAGAACCGTTCAGAAATAGACACAGTTTTAATACATTAATTTAATTTCGCTTAACATCTGTTGGAAAATGTCTAAATTTAATTTTGTAAACCGTTGTGGGTTGTTCGGGAAATATTTGAAATGATTATATTTATCTGAAAATCTTGCTCAAGACGAGAAAGAATATAGACATTATTGTATAAATATTATATTTATTTTAAATTATTCCTGAAGAAAGTAGTGTTCAGCTGTGTGACACGCACGTGTTGAATGTCCTTCGCAGAGATCGCGTGTCGCTATGACGTCAAACACACGTCTGAACTTATTGTATCTATTTACAGAAAGTTGGAAAGCTATATACAGGATTAACACTAAACAAATTACATACAAATAGAAAGAAAATTTTTATACCATACGGAAACATGTTTTTGTTTAAATAAAAACATGTTTCCGTATGGTATAAAAACTTTATCTAATATGAATATTGTGTATTTGATTTCTATCATAGATTCGTTATTAATAATATTAAACAGAAGTTGCGTTAAACGTACTAGTATTTTATTGGATCCATCACAGGCCCATTAGCTCAGTTGGTTAGAGCGTCGTGCTAATAACGCGAAGGTCGCGGGTTCGATCCCCTCATGGGCCACAACTACTATTTTTCATTTTTTTATTGTACTAGGTTAGAAAACTCATTAATAATAATTTTATGTTTAAAATTTTAAATCCAATTCAAATGATGTGTGAAATAATTATTTTGTAATCTTTATTTATTTTATTTTTGAAAGGCCAAAATAAAAATTATATACTGTTAATAGAATTGCAAATGAAGTATTCATGAATAATTTCCGCCTTCCGATATGCTTCCCTCTATTAAATCCAGTTTATCAAAACGTTTCAAAGTCAAGGTATAGTTGCTGTCAAACTAGCCGACCGGTAACAATGACCTCATGAAATATTCGTACAGCCTTCAAATTCAGTATAACTGTTAATAAATTATAATAATACACGGGTTGTGATTTAATTATCATATTGATGCATTCTGAAGCAAAACTTGATATATCCAAAATGATTTACAATAAATATTAAATATATCATTTGAGTGGAATTGAAGATTTTATTAAACACTAGCTTTCCGCCCGCAGCTTCGGTTCGGTTCGGTTATATCGCGTTTCCAAGAGAACCTTTCAAAAGTCTGGGATAAAAACTATCCTATGTTCATTCTCAAGGTCAACTCTATCTCTGTACCAAATTTCATTACAATCAGTTCAGTGGTTTAGGCGTGAAAGCGTAACGGACAGACAGACAGAGTTAACTTCGCATTTATAATATTAGTAGGGATTTTAGTTACTCAAAGGAGGTAGTTTAAATAAGTATTTGGCAATACAAAAGATATTTAATGAATGAAACAATATATCAACAATACATATATATTTGGTGTATTAACATTATGTACAAAGCGAATAGGCACTTGAAGCAGTGTTGATTGAATTATATGATAATATTTGTTATACAATAATTTGTCTTTAATATACAGAGTAAACTTATATAACTACTTTTAGAAACACATCAACATAAATATATAATGTTCAATACAAAATTATTTACATGAAAAAAAGAACAAATAAAAGATTTTTATGGCTTAAATCGTTATATTTTTATGAAAAAATGAGCATTTTTATTTAAGCATGTCAAAAATTTATCTCAGATTTCAGCTAAATTGAAATAGTAAACAATTTTGATGAATTATCACAACAATTGTAAAGACTTTTTTTAATGAACTAGAATAAAACTTCAATGCCTTCTAGCAAAAAAATATATAATATAGAGTTATATGTATAACCCAATAGTCTAAGAGACTCCATACCTTTAAGTATAATAGTACTATTTGTGATTAATCAAGTTTTTTGTATTCTATGGGTCTATGATTAGCCATCGGACTGTAGTGTGTTCTAATTGCTGTTGAAGAAGAGGTGTTCGCACACGAAGCTTCACCTCTAAAGAACCCCCGGCGGGTCGACGACCCTCCATTAACTGAGAGAGTTATAAATACAATTAATTAATTAATTAATTAATAATAGGAAAGTCAATAGTTGGTAATGTGTGGAAATCTGGTTGTAGAAGAAATTAAGGTGCCTTGATTAATTATATAGGAGATTAGTATCAGATGATAGATAAATTTGTTTACTTATATATAATATAAGTAATTAATATAATAAGTATAAGGAAATAAGCTGTTGTGATAATTATTGAATTTCAATACTAAGGTAAATAAAATGTATGACAACTAAATCTTTTATTTATGTATAAAGTATGATAAATTTTAAAAATAAAATTTTCTACAAGGTCACTATCAAATATTTTTATACTATGAAAGGCAAAAATGAGTGATAGATATATGAAATATATTAAAGTTTGAATAGAATATGTAATACTAACCGGGTAAGAATCATGAAGCGTGGTGACCGTCTCTAGAGGCGCTAGCTTGATAGATACTGAACCCAGGAGGGAGTCGCTCCTGAACCAACCGCTGCAACACAACGAACACCTATACAATACACACGACACTACAACCGGGAAAGGGGACTACGTGCGGGGTTAACTATGTATTAACTATATTATTAACATGCTGAAAGCTATGAGAAACAATGTTATTTATATAAATGGTGAGTAATAGATAGTCATATATAAATCGATCGACTTATGTATAAGATATATATGCAAAAACTAAGTATCTTATTGGAGGATATATACTTGAAAAACATAAAGTTGCGTTTGGTATCAAGTCACGTTACACAGACGATAGATGGCGCTGTCTTTTGGTTATCCAATTTATTTTAACACATGCATTCAGATATAATCCCAATTTTAACTCTAAGAATATGAAAAAAAAATGATGATGCATATAATATGACTTAAGAGATAGAAATGAATTGGCTTATTTGAGGTTTGGATGATCTATCTACAATAGCAATTAAAATAATGTATAAAACTACAGTCCGGTGTTAAATACAAATAACCCTAAGATTCATATTACCTACTTAAACAATTTATTTACAGAGATTAGGATAATAACTAAATGTACTACGGAGTTATTCAGTTTAACAGCATATCAGTGCCACAGCTGATTAAAATTAGTATGACAAAATTAAACAACAAGGAAGATAAATGAAAAAATTATAAACACAGTAATAATAATAAAAATTACTAACATTGTATCACATATAATTGTAAGCAATAAATTATAATTATTACTAGTCATTAATTTGTCATCAGATGAGGTAATGTTATAACTGGACATGATGTCATAATTATAGAATAATTTCCTGTCTTTGTTTCATTCTCGTGGGAAAATTTATTATTTATAGATCGGAGACTTATAAAATATAAATCAATTATAATCTTTGAATGTTCTCCAATAAGAGAACATCATATAAATATGATTTCAGAAGAAGTCTGTATGAAAATTAAGTGCAGTTTTGTGTAAAGCCGCATGCATACATAATAATCTTTTTTTGTAGTTGATTAATAATAATTAATTAATTTATTTCCTTACCCTCTGGAGTACACTTCTAACTTGATGGCATGTCTCTTGAACACTCTAAGACATGCTCTTGAGTTTCTTTGTATGGGTATATTGAACACAGCGTCGTATTGTGGATTGTTTGTGTCCTTTATTAGCTGAGTTCGGTCAGAAACTGGTGCATCCTGGAGGCAGAATTAGTTTTGATATTTAAATAACTTTCACATAAATTACTCTTTATTATTCAGAGATATTAAAGTTGTATTTTTATAACTGGCAATACTGTTATAAGCTTGAAGTGTAAGTATGAAAATTTATTTAAATTCATATAAATATTTAATTTCAAATTTTATTATAAATAATATTAATGGAGGTATTAAAACGATTAATATTGAAATAACGTGTAAATTTATCCCTTTTTTTAAAGTTCTTTTTGATGGTTGGTGGTATATATTAAACATATCTTCCCACATTTACCAAATAATATCACTTCTATTATTTATAAGAAAAAATAACAAAATATCTTTAGCTTCGATAACTAAGTACTGACAAATAGTAAAAAATATATATATTTCCTATAGTGTATTATGGGAACAATACTTTTATGCAAGATATATATTATTGAGATCTAAGACTTTAGTGAGTATTCAATTAAATGAAACTAATATCTTTCGGATTACTACGCCTATTTTGTTATTGTAAAAACTATGTACTCCCGACGTTTCGGATACTTTTCAGCAACCGTGATAACGGTTACGTAATAAAGTATGCGTGGTATAATTCGAAAAGTATATATGTATATATTAAATAGTTAATATAACCTGTGGGAATGGGAACTCAAACTTGACGTATGTGTCGACGTCTTTAGGGTTGGCGACGTTGTATGTGATCCCTCGCACTATAGTGAGCTCTAAGTCCGTGTCGTTAAGGTCCGTATTACATTGTACTATGGAGAACTTGCGGTTCTCATAGCGGAATTTAGGAGGACCCTGGTTCAGACTGAAATTAAGATAAACATTATTATTTATGATGGTTTTTCTTTGGGAAGATCTATTGGATTAAGTGTGTAAACCTTTGTTAAGAATATATATATTATATCGTCAAATTTCAATAGTGTCTAATCATTATATTAGGATACATTTTTGTGAAAACTATATGTTTGAAGTTATACTAAAATCTATCAATTGATCAATTTTCAAAACTCCTAATAAACTTTCGAGTAAAACTACCAAATGACTGGACTAATTCTTATACAGTATGGATAAGATACTGCTTATCCCAACTAATATTATAAATGCGAAAGTAACTCTGTCTGTCTGTTACGCTTTCACGCCTAAACCACTAAACGGATTTTAATGAAATTTTGTACAGGGATAGAGTTGACCTCGAGAAAGAACATAGGACAGTTTTTATCCCAGACTTTTGAAAGGTTCTCTTGGAAACGCGATATAACTGAACTCCACGCGGGCGAAGCTGCGGGCGGAAAGGATCAATGACTGTTGTTATCTTATAGTTTTTAATTACATGATATAATCTATATTTATACTCTTGAACCCACCTCCTAGCCACAATGACTACATCCAGGTCTTGCTTGGTGGTAGCAGCCAGGTGGTGGTACCTGTTGCTCTCCGCCACGTTCCCCATGGCCCGGTAGTGTTCCTTGTTAGTCAGACACATCTTCATCTGTTTGGTCAGTTGTCTCTGTAGGGCGGACATCACGTCTGTGTCCTCGCTTGAAATATCATCGACAGACACGCATTCTTCTACTGTTACTATGTCGAAACTGAAATATTATGATAAATTTCCTCTTTAAAGCTGTTTTTGTGTTTAGAATTTGGATATACACGATTAAGTGATTATATAATTTTTTTGGGAGTATCTAGAATTAGGATATATCGATTGCTCCTATATATAATGATAAAATCAATCAAAAATTTAAATTTTTCAGTAGAGGCGTTTTAAATTTAATTTTAATGTATCTTGTACATGCGACAAGTTCTGTGAACTGATACTTTTGAATACATAGCAACTATGACATAGATACATGTATGTACGTCATTTAAGCTTGATAAACTTTTTTGTAAACCTACTATATATTTGTTTTAATATTCATTATATATGATAATGTTATTATTACAATCAAATACAGTTTCGGTTTTTCGCAATAAAATTATAGAGGATTTTATTTAGTTTGTAACAATCAGTGTATAAGTGTATCTTAAGTCAGTGATGGCCTAGTTGTTAAAGAGCTCGCCTCTCGTTGCCGAGGACGCGGGTTCGATACTGGCAAGTACCAATGTGATTTTTCCGAATCATATGTACTTTCTAAGAGTACTTAGACATCACTGATTAAAAGAGGGTTCTCAAAGAGGGTTGATGTCAGGCAGGCGGCCGGTCGTAAAAAAACAAATAGCCAAAACTATTCACAACATGTAAGGCAGACCCTGGCTAAAGCTGGGAAATTGCCAGGTAGAAGAAGTATATAAGTGTATCTCACGTGTCCTCCATAGCCTTCTGTTCTCCGGGAGGTGGCGGTAGTGAGGCGAGGTCAACGGCCAGCCCGCCGCGGGCCGCCTCTAACACTGAGTCGAAACCCTTGGCTGCTCGGAGGTATTCCTTCGCTTGTTCGATGTTACCTGGAATATTATTAATAAAAACTATAATAATGCTAAATAACATAAAAAAACGCTACTAACTAAAATGAAAACAATCCGAATATATATTTTTATTTAGTATTACTCAGCAAAACTAATGACGCAAAAGAGATAGTTAAGTTCAAACAAGTCTCGGGATAACTAAGTTAGAATGTCTATCAATGTAGGGATATATTCTTATATCATACTTTTAAATCTAATACATGTACATTTTAAAATTATTATATTCGTTATACATTATATTATGTGCTCCCAGTGACGCTCACTTCATGGAAGCACATAAACATTGCATACCTTACGTACAAAACGGCTAAACACACAGTCAATGTGTTTTTTATAAAGATTATTCTTTTTATATATGTATTGTTAAAAGTGCCATCTAGCGAAAATCTACAGAAATATTATTTATTAACTAGTCGATACTAGCGCGCCTTCTAGCGAGTATTCGTCAAAACTCAAACCCCATCTTGTATGAGTAATGATAAGTAGGTATGTCTGTATATATGCATGTTTTGTGTAACATATTGTCAAAACTGACTCTGATACATTGAATACTACTAATATTATAATTGCGAAAGTTTGTGACTGTGTTTGTTACATCTTGACGCTCAAACGGCTGAACAGATTTTGATAAAATTTTGTATACAGGAAGCTGACGTCCAGGAATAGCACATAGGCTACTTTACATCATCATCCGCGGGTAACACCGCGGGGCGCAGCTAGTATTATTATAAGTTCAACTGACCGTCCTTCTTAGCTTGCAGCGCTGCCTCTTTGAACTGCTTCTGTTTGTGCAGCAACAGAGCTATCTGCTTGTCGTAGCGGGACGGGACACGGGACGGGGACGGGACGGACGGGGCGGGAGAGGGGGCGGGGCGGCGGGGGGAGGGGGACGGAGCGGGCCGCGGGGAGGGCGACTGGAAACAATAAACAATATACAATTAGAATAAAAATCTCATTACATTATTGAGCAAATAGAGCCCAATATTGATCAAAGGCCTCTTCTCACATGGAGAAGGTTTGAGCATTAATCACTACGCTCGCTCAAGACGGGTTGGTGATTTCAAACTTATAATTTGAATTGTGAGTCCAGGTTTCCTCACGATGTTTTCCTTCGCCGTCTGTCAGTTGTATCTAAATACTCATAGAAAGAATGACTCGGGAACAACACATTGGTACTTGCCAGGTTTCGAACCTGGCCCTCATGCAATAGAGGTGGGCCTTTAACCTCTAGGCCACCACGACTTGACCATTACATTTATACTACATTACTATATGTGTAGATGTATGTCACCTCGCCAGTGGGTATGGGTGCGTATCCATTGGGTGTGGGTAGCTCATCGATGGGTATGGGTCGCCCGGCCTTGTGTAACTTGATAGCGTCCTGGTATTGCTTCACTATTCTCCCCATACGACGCGCCTTTGACGTGTTCCCCTCGTCTTTCGCTTTATTTTCTTGTTCCTTTGACATTATTTACCATATTAATACTTATATTTAAATAATTATTAATTTCAACCATCTATACAGTATAATGTAAGTGATATTTTGATTATAGTATAAAATATTTGAATAAGAAACAGAAATATGATATATACATAGAAATACGATTATTTTTCATTTATGTAATTGATAGTTGTAATAGAGAAAAAATATATATAAAAGAAGAATCTTAAAGTATGTAGTAACTGTTTCTATAGACGATTTATTTACAATAATATAATGATTATTGCAAAGTAACGTTACATTGTAATTGATCTTTTTAATATAAGTTACATGTGTTTTAGCATACACTTGGTTATAATTTAAATGTATTAATATAAATATTTTACCTGAAAATGTGCAAGTCGTTGTCTTAGAGCTTCATCTACAGAGGATGCGGTGATCAAACCGACTGGCTCCGGAGGAACTTCAGGGGCAGGTTCTAAAAGAAGAATAAATATTACTATAGATTATAAATATATCATAGATCATAAATTTTAGGTCTTTTATTCCTATTTAAATAGTTTTGCCAGATATGTTGCTACAGATTATAGCATTTAATTTATATATATTTTTCATAAATAATTGAATTGACAAAAAAATAATCACTTTAATTTTATAGGTATTAGATTTTTTACCTATTGTTTATCTTAAACCATTAAGTAGGAATTAATAGAGACAAAAAAACAGTCAAATGTCTATATTTCATTCTTTCAAACTAACAAAAATCTCATGTGTTATACAGTGGAGAAAAAATAAATATGTCAATGTATGTGATTCAAAATATTTGGTACTCTTCTATAGACCTGCTGAATTCTGTACTTGTTCTTCCTCCTTTTGCCCCTTGATAGCAGCCGCGATGCTCTCAGGAGTTGGTAGTTCATTGAGATCCATCTCTTGACCTGATTTATAAGCTTCAACCACTATATCAAACTGTTTGACAACCTTGAGGTACTCTAACGCTAAGGTTTTGTCTCCCGAGTGTTTGCTTGATAGAGCTGCTGCTTTGAATTCTGCTTTCCTATCTGAAAATACAAGAAATCTCAGTTGCTTCATAGCCATAATACATTTTAGATATGATAAAATTGACAACATTCCTGTGTTTTGCCTTTTATTAGGCAGAAAAACAGTAAGATCAACTCTTCAATATCAAAATAACAGCTTTTAGTATTATGCTAAGTATAGTATAGAATTGTTACTGACTGGGGTATACCACAGAATGTATTAAGTAATAAGAAAATCACCCGGTAGTTTTCAATGTAATCCTATAGACTATGATTCTATTATTAATTTCTGAACTTACTCAGTATCAATTGCAGTCCTTGGGCCCTGGCGGGATCTACATCTGAGAGGACTGGTGGAGGTTCTTTGGGTTCTGGTGGAGTAGGGGATCTGGTTTCTTCAGGGTTTGGTGCTATGGAGGTGGTTCTGGGTGGGGGTAAGGGTACTTGTGTAGGTGTGAGAGGTTCAGGAAGTGTATTAATGGGTTCTGCTTGTGGGTTTGGTGGCGAGTCTCTTGGTACATCCGGTTTCGGTTTTCCCACACTAACTGGTGGAGGAATATCCTCATCATTTATTGATTTGCCAGATTTAGCTTGTTTCAGCAGGTCATTGAGTGTCTTGAGAGCTCTTCCAAACCTGATCATTAAAATTATGTTAAATGTTACACGTCTTTATGAAATGGAGAGTGTGTTATTTTATTTATTTATTTGAGGATCCCCAACAAAAGATACACAGTTTACAATTTTAAACTAATCAATACTAAATATTACAGGTGCTCTTTCAATTACAGGAGACCACAGCTTGCTAATTAAATATGACTAAGCAAAACAATATGAACTTATAGTTAAAGTTAAAATTATTTAAAAAACAATATAACCAAAATTTGTTAAAAAATAAGAATACAGTAAGTTATAAAAAAAAAAAATAAAGAATGTATACAACAGCAATGAATATTTAAAAAATATATATTTGTAATTAATATGAAATAAGTTTTAATAAATATCCTTCATGTTTACCGTCTAGCCCTTCCACTTTCCCCACTTTCCTTAGCATTCTTCTCAGCGATAGTATAATTTGAGATTCTTTCTTGTAGGAGGCTGACCATACTATTCTCAGCGGACGGTGGAGGGGGTGCCGGTCGACTTGTCCTTGGTCTTGGAGACTCCACTTGAGGCTGGTCATCTATTGCTAGGGCTTGAAGCTCGTCTAGAAGATCTGGATCATCCTCATCACCTGGAAAATGTATATAAATTATGATATGATTTCAGTATCTAGGTGTTAAAAATTATACTTTATTTAATATATAATAGTATAAACCTTAAACTAAACTACTTTTTGATTTTCATATATTAATCAATGAGTAAAATATTTACAGTTATTAACAGGTTACTAGTTATTTGCAAGGAAACTAAACTCAAATATAATATTGAATATAGACCCATAAACCAAGGCATTGTAGGTATTTTCTGAATTTTTCCTGCCCTGATCCCACTTTATGTAGGGTCGCCACAACATGTTCTTCTCTAACTGTTTTTTTTTTTACGACCAGCCGTCTGCCTGACATCAACCCTCTTTGGGAATGTGTTAATCAGTGATGTCTTAATACTCTTAGAAAGTACATATGACTCGGAAAAATCACATTGGTACTGGCCCGGGCCAGGATCGAACCCACACCCTCGGCAATGAGAGGCGGGCCCTTTAACCACTAGGCCACCACTGAACTGACTACTGTTATTTCTGTTATTATTGTAAAATATTTTAGAACAACAGATTGTTATTCAATACCCGACACATCTTCATCCGACGGTATATCTTTCAAGCTCGCAGCGATCATAGCATCAAGGTCGCTAGCTGGTACAGGAGCTGGTTTCCGTTGTCTTTGTTGCCTCTTTCCTCCACTAAGAGCAGCCAGTTCTGCTTCTAAATCGACATCATCGTCGGACAGATCCATCGCTTCTTCATCATCCAAATCTGGGATGTCTATCAGGCCAAACTGAAAGCATACATTTGATAGGATTGTATTAATTAATTGTTGCAGATAAAAATTCATTAATATTATTGACATTAAAATATCTTTAATATCTTTTTAATAAAAGTGCTCTTTACCAGACATCATACTACAATTTTATGAAACAGGACGAAGAGTTATTGTTATATCAAACTAAGTAAACTAGATAATAGTGATCATATTAACGCAATCGAGAACATTTATGACTCACCTGAGACAGATTTGTCTTTTTCCCGGAAGTTGGTTTTTTATACATGATTTATTTATTATCAATAAGCACTTTTACTAAATATTTCCTCTTGAAAATATGGCTTTCTTTACTTAAAGATTAACAAGATGATAATTTTAAGAATGACAAGCTAAACAATGACCACAAATAGTAAACAACACCATCTACTCGTTGAAAATAAGCAGATTATTAAAAATTTGATCGAACGATCATTTAATTCTTACAAATTTCGTATTAAACAAACAATAAACAAGTTATTTCGATTGTTAATCTAAATGAATAATACTACCAAGTACAAATGAAATAGAATACACAGTTTAAGTTATTAGAATTTGTGTTGAACTTAACGTCAAAGTACATCTGTTTGTCAAATGTTTGACGGAAAAATTATATAAAAGTCTATTTTTGCAATCACTACACAGAATACGTTTCTTTTTTATTTTAAAACATTCACAAATATTTGTGCGTTAAAATTTCAATACTAATGAGACTAATTTCACTTTAAAATAATACACTTTTTTTTGTCAATTCATTGTAATGATAAAGACTATTAATTTCTAAATGAAGCAATAAAACTGTCAACGTTATCTTAAACATTTTTTATAACTCTTTTCTCCATTATTTATATAATTAATTTTGTTACTTTTCAAAGTATCTTCATATTTGTGACCATAATGCGTATGGTCAGAGACAAATATTCTTCTAACTTGTACAATCTGTGTACTGTCTGTAAGAGTGACGTATGAACAGCCGAAACGAAAACGAAAGAAAAGCCTCTTGTGCCGTTGTTATCTTCTATCATTTCTGAAGAATGGAGACAAACGGCCAAGCTAATGGGCTTAAGTCTAAAAAGAAAGATGACGCAGATTCGAAGGATAATTTGTGGTAATTGTTCTCTGATCATTTATAACTAGCGTACAGCATCCATATAGGGTATCCAATGTGTCACACCTACGTGATGTCAAAGAATTGTACCTGAGAAATATGTGACCTGGCTGCGAAGTTACCTTTGTTTATAAAGGATTGTATGTAATTCTCGAGGCAATGGATTTGATTCAACTACACAGCGTTTAAATCATGCTCTTATGAAATGAATATGCAAGTGGAAGTTATGTTTTAGGTCTGCTATACTAGAGGAGGTTCAAAATCAAGGGAATACCAAATTACCTTCTAATAAGAACGTGCTAGTACTGGGTGACAACGAAACTGGGAAAACAACTCTCATAGCTAAGTTACAGGGAGTTGAAGACCCTAAAAAAGGATCAGCTCTTGAATATGCATTCATAGATGTTAGAGATGAGTACCGCGATGGTGGGTATTGTGATGAACTAATCAATGAAAAATTAATATTTACTTACATTACTATAATTAATCCACTTTTAAGTATCATAAATAACCAAAGGTTGCATTTTTTGTGGCAATCTTATACTGAATTCATACACTAAACATTATTTGTCTCAAAATAGTAAAACAACAAGAGAATTTAAATTTATGCTTAAATTAATTTTTGTCAAAATGAAATTTGTATTAGTCTGATTTTTACACATCTAACTCAAATTTATTTTAGATCCGTATAAATAATAATAAAAGCCCTAATATAGTATTTCTTTATTGTAGACCACACTAGGCTCAGTGTATGGGTACTCGATGGAGATCCAGGTCACACAAATCTGCTCAAGTTTGCTCTCAATGAAGAAACATTCCCTCACACATTAGTGATGCTCACAGTGGCTATGACAACGCCATGGGGTATACTAGATCAGTTACAAAGCTGGGCCTCTGTGCTCGGCGATCATATAGATAAATTGGATCTCACTCCCGGTAAGAATAATTCTATTAACATAACAAATTTTAACAATATGAATAATTATCAAATATAGATAGCTTCTATAATTAAAAGAGGTACTTATTTTGAGTTAATTATCTAAAAATTATAGTTGTTTATGGTAAGTCATAATCTAAAAATTAGGTTTTGGAAAATTATAAATGGATATTAAGTTGTTAATGGATATATTTTATATCAATAAGGGGTATTTTTTTTATGAATATATTTAGTGGAACTAGTAAAAAAATATTAAGTTTTGCACGGTTTTATATCCAATATATAGAAACCAATTTTAATAAGTAATTCATTTTATCAGTTAACATATATTATGGCTTCTTCGACTGTAATTTTTGTATTTATTATATATTTTTATGACACATGAAGTATTTAATAATGTGCTTGATATATCGTGATATTTATAAAACATGTCGAGATGAATAATGTTATCATTCCAACGAGAGTTCACATTGGGTTCATATTGGCTTATTCTAGTGACTAATTGGATTCTAATTAGTTTTGTTTTGTTATTATATTGTTATACAAGAAAATAGATGACACAAAACAAGCTAATATAAAAATAAAAAATAATCACATTACTGTGCCTAAACTTTGCTGTTCATCAATTTATTTTAAATGAATGTTGATACAAAATCTTTATTGGACAAATGAAATAAAAAAATATATTGGTCATGGTTCCTTAAAATAAAAAAATATTAATTTGTTACTTTTGCAATTAACGGCTTTAATATCTTAATTCATCCAGAATTATGGAATTCAAATGTCAAGCATAAATAACTGACATATTCAGGAATAAATGAAAATAATATTTTCGGATTTTACTTCGCGTATTTATTATTGATTATAAACTACATATTCCCGACGTTTTAGCTACTTTTCAGCAACCGTGATCACGGGCAGACGAGATGTGAGTGTCTGTCACTTGGACAGTTAAATGAGTACTCGCCAAAATCTTAGATCTCATTATGCATTCAGGAATATTTTGCTACGGTTTTTCATATCGTAACATTGAATTCAAATTTCTTTGGTCTATTTTTTGATCATTACCTAGTAGTTGCTAGTATGTGCTATAAAAATAGTGTTTCCTATAAGTTACTTAAAGCTGTACACAGAATGTTAAGTTCAATGTTTATTTGTCGCGGTGAGTCACGTGTTGCGTCACTGTTACTTAATGAAAGCGTCAACTGGTTTTATGAGACTGGTTTGTTTTAGTTGTATGTGTGTCAATTGTTTCATGTTCTCATATGAGGATGAATCAAAAATCTTCACCATTTTTTTTCTATGCTTTCCTTTCAATTTTTTTTATGATCACAGATTATAATTCTAATAGATAAAAAAATATCATAATGCATTTTTTATTTATTATCTGTAGTGTATAAAAATAATAGATGAATTAAAATCTGTTTATTTAGCTGTAATATAAGTCGTCGTACAACACGCAAAATGATATGAGTTTGTGAAAGGTATATTCACTAAATTTCTTCCTACAAGTGTGTCATGTTCAGCTGACGTGAGAACCGCTCATTGTATCAGCATTCAGCTAACTGTTAATGCTGAAATTAATAATAATATCTACATCAAAAATGTTTTTATATAGTAGCGTAAATGGAATTCGTTTTCATATATTTTAGAATGTTTATTTATTACAATAATTTTATTAAAACTTCATATATGTACAACTAAAATATAAAAAAAGCGTAGTACATGCGAAAATATTAGTTCTCGTTTCAAAATTTCGAATACTTATTATTTTTTTCGCAATACGATATCACTTATCGAATTTTTAATAACTTTATATAAAATTTAAGGCGTTTTATTATTCTTTTCAAATAAGTAGTAGCTTGAACAGCTAGCTGCAAGTAAGTGACGCTTGATGTATAATGAAGAGCTGCTGTTTATTTAACCTTGGCAGCTAACTAGTTGTACCTAAACCTTTTGATGTGCGTGGGTTTTATACGGTAGGTATCATTTTACAATTCATGGATATACCGTGTCAACTCGCGATATATGGTAGATGGGGGAAAAGAATTATAGGCTTAGGATCCGAAAAGATACTTTAATAACGTATGAAAGAGAAAATATAGAATTTTCAAATTAGATGTCTATACAATGAATAATTTATTTCTTTATTATATTTGTTATAAATAAGATATATATTTGTGATAAAAATGAATGCGTTCTAATATTTTTACCTTCACCTATAATTTTCCATTATAACATTTTTTGGTTGATAAATAAACATTCAATCGTAACTCAAATGAACAGAGCATTTTTAATTGTTTTTCATTCATAAGTATATTTTGATAGGATTTTATATAGTTCTGTGAGTTTCGCGAGTCATTTAAGTGAAACTAATATTTTGCGGATATACTACGCGACTTTAATTTTGATAAAAACTACATACTCCCGACGTTTCGGTTACTTTACAGCAACCGTGATCACGGGCAGACGAGGATTTTATTTGTTACAATTCACGAACAAAAAACATTACTATTGCCGATATGTACCAACAGTTTTATAAAATTTTAATTTTCTGTCGACATTAATATGACTAATGTCATGTTAGTCTCATCTGGTCGTAATCACGGTTACTGAAAAGTTTAAACGTCGCGTTCAATGATAAAATGCCTGAAGTAACTCCATAAATAACTAGTGTATTGTCGAAAGTTTTAGATATTATTAAATAATTTATAGTTAAAGTAGCTTATAGATGTACCTAATTAATTTAGCTACAATACAACTGACTTTTTGAAGTGAATTATAAAAAACTTCTCTGTCAATCACTTGTTTAATCCCAATTTCCACAGAATAATGAATAATTTTATATATGTAATTGTTGTCTTTAAATAATCCCTCCCCCTCCACTATACATACAATATCAAACCACTCCGCGTCTCGCTCTGAATGCAAAACATCCCTTAGTCAATACAGTTCTTTTTATTCATGTTACAGATATTAAAGTTACTTTGTAATAACTAAGGATACTTACGTAGTGTGAGTTATGTACATATATGTTGATACTTGATGGATAAATCTCAAAATATACAACAAAAAAAAGTTCGCTTGCGATATCATTACGTATTAAATTATGACGTAATTAAGGTAAAATTAATTTAGAGTAAGTCACAGTGAACTATTATACGTATAAACTCGGCTCTCAAAATACAGGAACTCGTTGAAAACTTAAATTGACATGATTTAGAACTTAAATATTTAGCTGTATGAGTCGAAAAGTGTTGTTGTTAAAAGCTAATATAGCATGCTATACAAGCTATTTCGTCACAAAATAACATAAGATATAAATGTTTTTAATTCCATACTAAACTCAATAGATTATGGAATTTTAGTAGAAGTAACAAGATACTACACTAATTATGGGCACTTTTATGGATTCCTAAAATGTTGATTTTATTAATGATTTATTTTATTTAATAGTTTTAACATAGTGATTAATGCTGTTATAGATATATTCAGACAGGTTTATAAATTTTAAATAATCTCTATATTAATGAGCTTTGCGATTTTAAAAGAATATTTTATAATTTTCTTCAACTAATGTCTCGTTTGTCCTTGAACATGTCACCGTTGTCCTTATGAGTGCTCCATTTTATTATTAAATAAATTATATATTGTAGTAACTTACATCGTTAAAAAAAGTTATAAGCCTAAAAATGTTACTATAATTTAACGATTTTGGACAGTTTTTGCTTGTGTGTAGAAATTTTCGTCACATAAGTCCTTTTTTCTTAATGTACATTCAGGAAACGTAATGTTAGATACATATTATTGATTTAATGGATATTTTATTTCTTTTAAGTATGTTCTGTGTATGGTCAATGTCAATGATGATTTTTGATGTCAATGTTTCCAGAACAAAGGTTACAAAGTAAAAAGCAGCAGGTCCAGAAGTGGCAGAGGTATACGGAACCCGGTGATGAGCTCGAGGCTAATGCCTCGTCTCCTATGAAGCGTTCCTCACGCAACCTGTCCGACGATCTGGACAGTGACGATGAGGACAACCAGCTGCCTGAAGCCGTGCTCACAACCAACCTTGGCTTGGACATCGTGGTGGTTGCCACTAAGGTAAGATCACTATGAAGTATAGCGATACTAACACCTACTTTCGCTGGTGTGCCCTGTCGCTGACAGATCCGGGGTACACAAACATAGCGCCCGATGGCTTTTTGGTTTTAGTGAGTAGGAACTTGCCCAGTTCGAGTCTCACACATCCCTTCCGGCCCCACCAAGGCCGGTTGGACGGCTCGTAAAAAGTTTCCCTGCGTCATAAAAAAAGGACTAACACCTACTTTAGAACTGATGGAGAATATTCATTTTTAAATTTAAAGATATTTTTGTTGATAATTATCAGGGATTCTTAAATTATTCAGATGTAGTCTAGCGATAGAAACACGTGCTTGATAAGTCATAGTCTTTGTGGAAACTTATGATGTCTTTCCATTTTCAACTTTAGTGCGATACATTTAGAGATAAAGATATTTTTGTTCATAACTATCAGGAACTGCTTAATTATTCAGCTTATGATCTAGTCTAACGACAGAAACACGTCCCTGGCAATTTATAGACTATCCACTAGCTTTTGCCGCGACTCCGTCCGCGTGGAATAGTGACTTATGGCAGATTTTTGGTTCTTCCCACATAGTTCCCGTTCTTGAGGGGTTTTCGGAATGGTCGAGTTCCCGTAGAATTTTCAGGATAAAACCTACGTTTTTTTTTTATTCACAATGAAGTACTCTTAACCAACAACATATTTATTTGTTTATTTGAATAAATATTAATATTATTATATTGATACAACTTAAACAAATTATTTCACAAAATTAGGTACCATAAAAACGATTTTTGTGAGTTAATCTTAAAAGATAGACATATACTGTCTTGGACTGTTTTTTAGATCATTAAAAGAGCTATTATTCTTTAATACATATTTTTTGTGTATCTTGAACCGTTTTGACGGCGCACGCAACGGAAGGCTTCAAAGATGAAATAATTTCTCCCGTTTTTTACACATTTACCTCTATATCTTTGCTCCTATTGGTCGTAGCGTGATGTTATATAGCCTACAGCCTTCCTCGATAACTGGACTATCCAACACAAAAAGAATTATTCAATTCGAACCAGTAGTTTTGGAGATTAGCGCTTTCAAACAAACAAACAAACTCTTCAGCTTTATAATATTAGTATAGATTTTTAGCTTCATTTCGCGAAATTTAGATATAAACTATATTTATTTATTTATTTATTGGAAATAGTTACACCATCGACTTATCACTAAGACATTCACTTAGTAGTAGATACAGGGTATTAAATCTAGGTGAATAAATCGTTACAGGTGTAAATATAAGACCTTAAGATAAGACTATATCTAATTATATCTTTACTAAAAATAAACGTATATGTTATAGACTGACTACATGAGTACTTTGGAGAAGGAGCACGACTATCGCGATGAGCACTTCGACTTCATGCAGCAGTGGATCCGTCGCTTCTGCCTGCAGTACGGCGCGGCGCTGTTCTACACCAGCTCCAAGGAGGACAAGAACTGCGACCTGCTGTACAAGTACCTCACGCACAGGATATACGGCCTGCCCTTCAGGACGCCCGCGCTCATCGTGGAGAAGGACGCCGTGCTCATGTGAGAGAAACATTATCATACTAGCTGCGCCCCGCGGTGTTACCCGCGGATTTCCGGCATGTAAAGTACCCTATGTGCTATTCCTGGACGTCAGCTTCATGTATACAAAATTTTATCAAAATCGCTTCAGCCGTTTGAGCGTGAAGAAGTAACAAACATACACACTCACAAACTTTCGCAATTGTAATATTAGTAGGATTATTGACATTACCTCATGTTTCAGTAGCAACATTCTTCATCAAAGCCATTGAGGTATTTGTGAGAGTGCCAGTGTACGTTAATGAAGTCAGAATCAGTGTTTAAAGGCTTTTTATTGAAATTATTACTAGCTTATAGCAATATTTAAATATGGATCTGACCTGACTCTGTAATATAAAAAAGATCTCGTTACGATATGTTCGAATTATTTAAAACTTTTAATATTCTGTTATAAAAGTGTTTTAACGCATTTGAGTGCAATTTAAATTTTAATGCTATAACGTCAATCCCAAACAATTTTACTATATATGGAGTTTAATTTGTCTGGTCGCTACTCAATATCCTATATACAGGGTGACTGGTGAATTACTATCGATACTTGAGGACGTGATATTTGACGATCATATATGAAAACATAAAAATTAATATAACAAATATTAATAAACTTCTAAGTAAAGTTAACCAAAAGTTATGTAATTAATTACACATCGTGTGAACACCCTACAGATTAGGTATACACACACACACACACGCGCGTGCGGCGGCGTGGTGTTGTATCAGCACGCCGCCGCACTCGTCCACACTTGGAACACTTGGAACGTGTCCACACTTTATTTATTTATACGGAAATTTGGTCAAAAATTAAGTACCTATTTTTTTTACATAATTCGAATGAGAATCATGTACCGAGTATTCTCCTTAAATATTGATAGTAATTCACCAGTCACCCTGTATAAGAGTAATGTTTTGTAGAAAATAAATAAAAGTATATATATGAATCTAATTATAATATTATTATTCCAGCCCGGCAGGTTGGGACAGTATGAAGAAGATCAGTATCTTGTATGAGAACATGCAGACGTGCCAACCTGACGACTACTACAGGGACGCGATCGTGCAACCCGCTACCAGGAAGGTTTGTAAAGAATAATGAATGATTGATTGATTGATTGATTGATTGATTTGGTAGGAAATCAGTAAATATACAACGTGTAACATAATTAACGCACACCCTGAAAGTAGTTTGTTCAGAATCGGTATCTGGATCGATTTTTATAGTTTTTTATGTAGGTCATTTTTTTTCTCAAACTTAGAACTAAGTAAATTACAGTCATCCTACGCACGCAACACCAACAGCGACAGTCGGCACACATCAAATACCTACGCACGTGTCCATTGACCTCCTAGATCAGCTGATTTGACGCCACTCGACTTTTTTTTGTGGGAGCAAATTAAATCGCTAGTTTATAACACAGAGACAACAAGTTTCGAGGAACTTAAAAATAAGATATTTTTAAAATAAGATATTAGATTTGTAAAAAGTAACACTGCAGTATTATCTAAAATAAAACCACAATTGCGGAGACGGTCATAAAAGTGCATTGAACAAGGCGGTGGACATTTTGAAAATGTTTCAAAACGACAACGCCGTGCGAGTGCAAATTAAACTGTAAGTTTGTTTATGATTTTTAAATTATTGTTAATATTTTGATTCACACCATTTAAACACGACGACTTTGTCGTAGGTATTGTGGTGTCTAATCAAATCACGCGTTATCAGCTGTTTAATAATTTTTACTTACAAATTTAATTTAATAAATCAGTAATTATAAAATAAAACTTCACATTAAAAAAAAATTCAATGTTGACAATCTTAAGCCTGATAAATCATAATGTAGTTATTTCGTGTTCTTATTATTACCTACTTCTTATTATTATCGGACGGCACTCGGAGAGAGGGGCGCGGGCGCGGCGAGTCCAGAGTGTCGCTGAATAGCGGACCATATTATTTGCACGAAATTGGGATAACTAATTTCACAAATAAAAAATGCAAACGCACATATAAATAATATTTGGTGTATGCATTGCGTTTATATTATTATATTCTAATTGGGGTGTTTGAGGGTGTGCGTTAATTACGTTACACGTTGTATACCTAATTAAGTATTAAGTATCTACAATAGATTGGTGTCAGTGCTAAGAGTAAATATGAATATACTCGGATAATAGTAGATAATGAGAGATTTGAAAGATGGATAATAATTGTTAATTATATCAAAAAGACAGGTAAAATTTCGGTTATAGTAATTATTTCTTATGAAATAATTAAACCTTTCTCTAACCTAGATAATAAATTATATGGATCGTATTAATAGTTTTACGGTTTCGAACCTGCGACTTGCCGTTTATCGAGTTTATATGTTTTGTTTATTGAGCTACTGGGCTTAGTCTTTTTCAAACGTTTTTAATACAAACAGTCATATAGACAGCTGATATTAACATGTACACGATAAAGAAAGAATTCATTTGAATACTTGGAAGATAAAACATATCAAAACCAAACAAATACAGAGAGATAATACACTTTAAAATAATTCTTATGATGATATTAAAATAATTGTATCAGCGATATCTGTTTAGTCCATTCTAAAATATCTTGTTTCCTATTGGCTAATATTTACCACGCAATATATTAGACCAATAAGAAGACGTATAACTATAACATGAGAGTTATAATATGGTTTATATGTTATTATTTCAGAGCGGCACTCGTTGTGAGGCGGAAGTACAAGCGGAGGACGAGCAGGCCTTCCTCCAGAGACAGCTGGCGGCGCTACAGGCAGGGACGCCCGCACCAAGAGCTGACTCACCGCTACGGACCGCGCAGAGGGTCACGCCACAGGTAAATATTATATACTTATATATATATATTTATTTATTTTATTAGGAAGCCAACATAATGTATATCTTACAAAGTACACTACAATTAAAGGCTAACTCAGCATGCATTCACAAAATATGTAAGTATATATAACTAAGCAACTTTTTAAATAATATTGAATAAAGTAGAACTCTTATAGAATGAAGTACTTATCATATAATTTTCATGCTAAAGAGGGCAACTGAGCAGACGGCCTACCTGATTAAGGTAGTACCTATGTCTATAGATATAGACAACATAGATTTGATGTTTTGCCAGGATTGATTGGGAAAAGGTGGGAAAGAGAGGGAAAAGGATAAGGGCAAGCGTCTCTCTCATTCATCGGACGAAATGCAGTCATTATAGGCTACTTCATGTCGATCTTCTGTAAGGGGATGGTACTTCCTCGGTCGATTCAGCATATGTTTAAGTTATAGTAAAATGACCTCAGCTAATCTCTATCACCTCAATATACAGTTGATCGAAATAGTTGGTAAACTCTATACCTAACCTATATACTAATCAATGTGTAGCTTATAAGCATTGATCTGGAAATTTATATTATTTATATTATAACTTCGTATCGCCCTATAATCAAGAAATATCTGTTACATTTTTTATTTATATTTTTGGAGTTTACTTATTAAAGCCATAATCCGTGTTTTGAAGTGCGACAGAATGATTGACATATTTAAGTTAGTTGTCAAATCTAATGTTAAAAAAAAACGTTTGTATCAACAACTACTAATAAATTAAAAAAACATTGTCCAGCGGACAAAATTGTGAATCTAAACCATTTGCAGATCCCCTTGAACACACACAAAAAATTTCATCAAAATCGGTCGAGTCGTTTAAGAGAAGTTCAGTGAAATATACACTCACAGAAGAATTATATATATAAAGATATAACGTATAACCAAATTAAAGAGTTTATATATAACTGTAAATAACTTTTTCAGTTGGACGGCGCGAAGATCGGCATGGGTTCCGGTACTCCTGGCAACGAAGGCGTGTTGGCGAACTTCTTCAACTCGTTGTTATACAAGAAGACGGGGTCCCCGGGGGCGCGCGCCCCGGACGGCTCGCCCGCAGCCGCCGCCGCGCGCTCGGACGCCGCCGCCGAGCTGGACCGACTCACGCGCGCCAAGAGACCGCCGCCCACCATCGACCTTAACACGTCTGACTGCTAGCCCAAGGAACGATATAAGGTAATACATCTATTTTTTATTATTTTTTTTGTGTGAAAGCTGGCAAATGAACAGACGGCCCACTTGATGGAAGGTGGTTACCGTCGCCCATGGACATCCGCAACATCTTTGTTACGGATGCGACCGCAACCTTGTTTTTTAGGGATAGGGAAGGGTGGGAATAAGAAAATGGTAGGGAAGGGTGGGAATAGGGAAAGGGCAATTACTGGCAATTACTGGCTCTAACAACTATATCTGACGCATCTACCATACGTTAATACTAGCACTGACAGCTATATCTGCTCTTGCAACGACTATCTACGTCCATACTATAATGTTCGAATATTAGTGATTGGAAAAGTGATAACTCTCAGTATGTAGCTACAAACCAATCTTATGGCAGAACTACTAGTCACTTGTATCGGATAATAAACTATCTCAAATTATTTTTGTTGTGTCCTCACTGCCATGCTTCATAAACCACAATAGTGTTGATTGTTAAATACAATTTGTTTATTACCTGTAGTGGCAGTTTAAAATATAACAAATGCTTTTGTTCCGTGTGTTCTTGAATATATTTATAAAAACTTCGTTGAACTAAAGCTATGTGTAGTTTATATTCAATATGGTGTGTATAAATTTTATTTTATCAAGTTGTAAATATGAGGAGTTCTATTTTACTTTGCAACAATTTTTCTACAATTGATCCGTCATTAATATAATAAAACATAAACTAATGTATATCCTGTGTTTATATTTTAGGATTGTGTCGGTGGCGTGTGACCCGCAGCGGCTCGCTCCAGCATCCATCGCCGCTGTGACGTCACTATAATAATACACTGTGAAATGTTAACGGTAAGGCCACCAGCTAGTGATGTGCCACGTGAAGTATCGATGTATCGTAACTAGGGATGGGACGAGGCGTTTTCCCTCACACATGTTATCGATGATCCTCCTCGGCAGCTAGGACCGGGAGACGCCTCCCTCACGCCGATGCTGCACATCGGGTGTACGTTATCGATAGTCGTAATAGTTTCCTATCCGGTAATATTTTACATGTAATATGTTTTATGATATTAAGTATTTATTTAGTTAGCTTATGTTTGAACTTTGATACGAATGTCGGCGTCTGCCGAGGTTTCATGTTGTGGATAAGTCAGTAAATGTTCGAATTCATCTTGAGATTACTTAACATTTTGTATAGAATGAAATGAATATATATATAACTCGGATACATGATGGATACTGTTTTGAACTGTTTTATTCTATATAAAATGCTAGACAAAATTGTGATCTTCTATGAAGACTGGAAGTCATAGGAGGGGTTTATGCACAATGAAGTCAAATGTTTGTACAAATCATTATCCGATTGTGACTTAAAGAATGTTGTCATGGTGAAAAAAAAAAGATTTGGAAACCACACAAAATAACTGCAATGTTGCCTGCTGATAATTAAACACAATAAGCACTTCTATGGTTAAAAAAAACCATTTAAAATGTAGTAAAAAAAAAGCAGTATTATCGTCATCATAGCATATCACCAATTTTTCTATCTTTGTATGGAGGCAGGCTAATAATAATATATAAATAGTTTTTGTTTATTTTGTTTGCTCATCATGTTTTAATAAATAACCCTGTATGTGACAACACCGATGTATTGAAGTCAATGTAAACATTGTAGCGACGCCTCAGTCGACAGACTTTGTAATGGTGACCTTCTTGTGTTAACACGTTTTATTCCGAATATCAATTTTTGTACTGTGAGATGTATCTATGTTATTGATAACGATTGGTTTATGTTCGTTGGTGCAATACAGAACATTCCAAACCTGGTTTGGTGCTTATTAATATAGTAAATTTATCTAATAATTATTGGAGTTTCATTTTCTTGCCCCTTGCTCTCTAGTGATTTCGCACTAAGGTCACTATTATCAAATATACGAGTACTTAAGAGACGAAGGCATTATAATATGTTCACCCATACTTAAGTATCTGTATGTAGATGTTAATGCAGTTAATATATACATGTAAAATGTAAATCATATAACGGCTCTAAGTTATGCACAAGCGGTGACAATAGTCTCTGAATTAATACTATATATATTTCATTGAACAAAAGTATAACTTTTCCATTAAGACTCTTTAATCTCTTATTCAGAACATCATTGTTCAGTAGTATATAAATAAATTCCATTCTGTATTAATATAGTAATTATAATATGAACTTAATATATCTGAGGATGTGACAGGATACTTAAGGATAAAAATATATTTTTATAGTAATACTAATTGAGGGTGGCTAAATTGCATAATATGTACTAACCTCTTGTATATGTAAAGATTAATGTATATATTATAGAAACAAACTTTTTGATCATTATCTGAGATGAAATCTGTCTAATATCCTGACATTGCTCATTCATGTACTCGGTAACTTCCTAGTCAAAGTGAAATTTTATTATTGCTTCATACTAAATATTTATTCTGTGATAACATCATTTCCACTTCTATAGCCACCTGTAAGTCAAGTGTTAAAATGTCTTTCACTAGTATGTTTTGTACAAAATCATCTTTTTTATATAAAATATATACTTACTTTTTGTTAATTTTTAATTATTATTTTTTTGTTTAGAACCGTTTACTTAATTTTGTCATATATAGAAACAGAAAGCAAATTGATATGAACGATAATTTACCATAAAAATTCACTATTGTATAATTATCAAAATAAGTGAAAAGGCATAGTGATTTATTGTTAGATTCTCATTAAATGTAGTTAATACGCTTCAATAGACTAGATTTTATTAACTTGTGTAATTTTTGGTTGTTTATTCTTTTATTTAAATAAATCCTAATTATTATATTTTAGACACACACTAATAAAATATTATTGTTTGAGTGTAACATGTAGATATAAGGAAGGTCTAATAGATTCCAATGGTATCCAAGTAAATATGCATTTAATATTTATTTTGGAATGCTCTGATTGGTTATTTACATTCATCTAGCTTACTCGATATTTTAATATTTATTATTAATATTAATAAAAAAATAGATATATTCTAATTTGAAACTGTAGCTTTGAAAGCTTCTAATTTTTCGACAGGATAAAGAAAAGAGGCGCACTAATTATTAATAAAATTATCTTTTATTCTCCTAATGTGGCATAATATTTCTTATCTGCAATGTGAATTAGTACTACGTTATTGCTATTGTGTAGTGCTCGAGACTGTCCTATAATTAATCCTCTAGAAATATTTTTCTTATTGAACATAATAAAAAGCTTTGCAGCGCTTGGATCACTTTACTCTGTATGTAAATCTTACAGAGGCATTGAAGTGTTATTGTGGCTGTAATAATTAAATACAGATTATAGGCGACTGTTGTACAAGTTATGAAATATTTTCAATAAACAAGGAATCTGAGAAGGTGTTTTTATTTATATTTTCATCCCATAATGTAAGCCAAAATTTATTATTAAGATTTTTATTTAGGTATATCACAATGTAATCAAAACCCAAAAGTTAAAAAACTTATAGAAATTTCTGAAGGATTACAGATAGTAATCATAATTTTTAAAGTTAAATTAGTTTAAGCGTAGTATTCTTAATAATTACACAAAAAACTTATGTTTATGGGTTTCACCATAATGATTTTCGTTTGTACTCATTTAAGTGAATTTTTTTTCGGATTTGCGTTTTATGTACCCTTTAAATACATATATTCGTTAAGTTTTTATTTTTCAAATTTAATAAAATGATAATAAAGTAATCGTTCTCAGCCAAACTTTTTGATACTTTTAGACATCGACATATACTAATGGAGGTGCCGTACGCATATAAACTGCGGTAATTTTTTGGTTTGAAAAGAGTGAGAGAGATGATCTATGCTTTCGGTCTAGCACTATCTCATTCCTCATAGATGATTGGCTCTCAGTTTTCATGACAAGCACGACATATAAATTATCCAGAAGGGGCTCATAACGTCTTAAGTACAGTACTATTTTGAGAGAGATAAAGATAGACCGAAACTTCGTTTCCTCTCTTTCTTTCGGAATGCCACAATTCTCTTCTTTAAGGCATGTCCATTAGTATATGTCGATGCTTTTAGATGTCCTAACTCAAGTGATCATTAATTTTTTAATAGGAATTGCTTTGGATTTTCTTAAACATTTTGTATTGTATCACATTATAAATTGAACATATATAAATATTTAATTTATGTATCAAAAAAAATAGTAACATAATTATGAATATGCTTTGTTATTTTCGACTCCTATTTGCTTATCTCTAATGTCAGTTCATAGTTGTCAGTTGTCTCTTGTCATTTAGCATACATGTATTTTGACGTTTCTATTGTAGTGATTTGGCTGTCGGGTGATAGTGTCTCGTTAAGCGCTCTTATTGTAAGGAGTTATATTTTAAGGGAAGATATTATAAAATATTTATTCGACGGGTTCTAAGTTTAGTGTTGCTGTGATTTACGTTTAAGTTTAGTGTCGGTTATGTACGCAGTGATAAGTGAGCGCAGGTTTTCAGTGTAATCTAATAATAGTTTTAAAGTGCACATTTAATTGTAAGTGGTATGATTATTTTTTTATAAAAGTGGCGGGAGCAGTCATGGGGCAAAGCCCGAGCTCTGTTCGGAGTAGGAGTAGCCGGAGGTCCTTCAGGTCCTTTGTGCGGCGCTCCAAGTTGAATAAGTCTAATTTGAGCCACACATTCAGTTTGCCACCTTCCGAGGAGTATCCTGAGCTGATGAACGTGAACTCCGCCACCGAGGAACAGTTGATGACACTGCCGGGGGTGTCTCGCCAGCTCGCGCGGGAAATTGTCCGACACAGACAAATGATTGGCAGATTCAAGCGCGTCGACGACCTTGCCTTAGTGTCAGGTGATTATTTTTCTTTTGTGTTTATTTTGTATTTGAATATTTCATAATAGATTTTAGAAAATGCCATATTATTTTCATTCCTCATTGCAATTACTTTAAAAGAAATATAATGTTAGTTCATATTCCATTTATAAAAACAAGTAATTTTTAACTAAACTTTTATAAATTCTTTGTAGGTATTGGAGCTGAGAAGCTCGAATTGTTAAGACCAGAAATATGTACAAATTCCAAAAGAGAGATATCAAGAGCAAGTTCCTGTACTCATTCCTTAGACAGTGTAAGGATAACAAATGAAAATAAACTATGTTCTGTGAATTCATCCAGTGTGTTCCAACTGCAATGTGTGCCGGGACTGAATCAAGAATTAGCAGCTAATATTGTAGACTATAGAAATAAGAAAGGACCATTCAAATCATTGGATGATTTAATAAAAGTCAGGGGCATAGATATCATCAGGCTGAGTACCGTTAAACCACATTTAAATTTGGAATTACGCAAGAGTGAGAGTGTACAACATTTAACTAACGGACATGTAAATGGTTGGACGGAGACATGTCTCGATGACTCACTTCTAAACAGAGAAACGAAATCACTAAGGAGTCCACATAGAAAAAGTATGTCTATGCCTACAAAGTTCCCAATCACATTGCCAAATGGTTTTGCGACGGCTCCGGTGAATGATATATTAGATTTGCTGTCAGCTTATTCTCACCGACCCATTGTGGAGGAAGTCTTTAGATATGAGAGGGACGGAGTGAGGTGTTGCCGTCTCGCTTCATGGAACCTCCATCAGCTCAGTGTAGATAAAGTCACGAATCCAGGCGTCAGAGAAGTTATATGCCGGACCATTTTAGAATATAGGTATTATATAATTATTCAAATGTAACTATTACTTCATTCCCATAAATATTAAAATATATGAACCGGTTGAACTATTGTATTTTTTTGCTGTGTAAATGAATTATATAAGCGGAATAAGTATGTCAAGTAATAAAACACTGTCTTTTTGCCGAATGACATAAACTAATGTTGCAATTATTTTTTTCGCTTGCTCTGAATTAATGGTATAATGTTTTCAGATTGTCGATTGTAGCTATACAAGATGTATGTGAGGAGTCGTCTCTGCGTATGATATGTGAAGAACTGAATTCACCAGCATTACGTAGAGTCAGCGAATGGAGGTGGAATAATAGGTCTTGGAACTATTGCTTACCGAGTGATGGAAAAAGGTATGTTCACATTATATTGGTCTTATAAACGCATCTTAAATATAAAAAACTATGACTAGATCTAGTAATTGATTATTTTTTTCGTCTGTTTCCATCTCAGACATCGTATGATTATGATAACTCTGGTTTCGTTGATATGTGTACACGTGAAAAACTTCGATATATTTAAACATTAATAATCTTATCACATTTGAATATTATTTGGAATGAAAAATATAATGCAATTACATTTGATAATACAAATGGCAATAGATATTAAATATACGTCAACATTTTTTTATTGAGATGTAGGTTTTCTATGATGAGTAAAATTTTAAATAGCACATTTCTTCAAATAACTAATCATTATGTATTTAGTGTATACTGAACCTTAGCTGTTTCTCAATATTATTGTGAAATACGTCGGGTCTGCGGACAAAGTATAGAATTTCACGTCGCAATCTGTATTGTTTTATAAAATTAATAAAATATTATTATTTCTATATTGTTTAAATGTATCATAGTTTTGTTACGCGGAACTGATCACGCGCTCTTTTTTATATATGGAACGCTTACACAATTCAAACCCAAAATGTATGTTTCATTGTAATAATAATACGACCTGGGTGTAATAATTATTGTATTTTGTTTTTAAGTACGTATATTCGACTTCCTTTTGCGTTGATGAATATTTGAGACAAAAAATATTTAACATAATTTTTAAACGATTTTCGAGTAAATCAGTAAAGTGTGAATATTCATATAAATTCTATAATGTTGAGTATCGAATAAATTAATTAGTAATTTAGGAACATCGGCTGCACGCCCTTGAGCCTTAGACTCGAGAAAAATATGAAGCGATTGTTTTTTTTTTCTTTCAATAAAATTTAGTTAGCAGCAATGAATGTTATCAGGCCGCGCGCTACTGACTTTCAACTTGGATAACTGATTTACAAACATTGTTAGTTATGTTTGTATTATATGTTTGTCTGTTTGTTTCTTCTGACGCATCTCCGAGACAGTCACAAGCATTCCTTGTGTGGCATTTCATGAAAAATATGAGAGTAATATTTCTTTTTGCGTTACTATGAGTAAATTGAATAATTTCGTTTTTTATTATAATGGACAAAATTATTGATTTATATTATACTCTATTCAAATATTATCAGATTATATTGTCGATATATTTATTATGAATTATTTTTTTGACATTTTTTTATACGAAACATATGTATTAAAAGAGACCTGAGAATATTGTGTAAAAGGCGGGAAGTGGTTATATTTTTTAATTTTTTGTCTGTTTTGCTTATGTTTGATTGTCAAATTAAAACTGGTTTTTGTCTAGTCTTTTAAAAAGCGTTATAAAGGAATTTTTTACTTGTCATAGTGATTTTTACAATTTCTTGGAATTATTTTTAACATTTTCATATGAGGGCCACAGAATTTGAAATGTTATCGATTTTTTTCAATTAAGGTTAGATTTTTCATTATTATTGTATTTAGGTATAAACGTTATTAATAAATCTAGGCGAGTTAGTTGCGTGTTGTGATGCACTTTCTACACGTAGTGTCGATCGATTAATAACCAGATCTGATGTTTTGTAAACAATAACGTATATAATAAATATTATTATATAATTTATTATGTATCAAAATAATATACATATAGTATCCGAAAAGCTTAGTTTCTTTTAAATGAATACATACGAACATTTTATTATATGTATAATCGAAGTGTCCGGATATATTTTTAAATCTGTTTCTAGTTTTCATAGTTATTACATAGTTATCCGCTGTAATTGGCTATATTCTCGCTACATCCGTTGAAATTCTAATTTAGGCCGAGTTAATTCCAGTATAAGTTTGTACGGAATTGCATCTTAATTGTGTTAGCTATTCACGATTATTGGGAATGTGTTTTAATCGCAATATTTCGATATTACCTCTACTATCTGTTCGTATTTGTCAACCAGCCAGGACACTTTCGAGTTTTTTTTATTCTGGTAATATCACTATGGATTAAATCTAGAAAGTCTGTTTGTAATTCGAAAATGAGGACGCGTGGTTGGGGTAATTGGCTATAACGTTATTTTGATAAAGGAGACGTGGTATGCGTTTTAATAGCTTCATTTTGTCAACATTATTTATATAAATATAAATCTTTACATAATTTAAGTCGCTAGTATGAATAAAAGTATAAATTAAAATAATTTCAGTGTTTAAAAAACGTAGTAACAATTATACTTCATTATATTACCGTTAGTCGTCAAGTTGACCAAAAAAATTTCTGAATAAATATTTCAAATTCCAAGTCCACATTAAATATTCAGGTAAATTACTAGTGATGACGTCATTGTTTGGTTAAAGTTTTAAATATGATTATGTATATATCACATAGTCTCCTTATTATTTCGTACTTTTAAAACTATCAGGAGCTAATGACTAGAGCCCGGATTAATATGTAAATACATATTTTCAATTTACGCGATTGTCGGTCTAGAGTATGTTTTTTACATGGACTGTCATATTTAGACTGTGAAAAACCAACTTTTATTTTTCATATTTTACCATATTTCAAAGTTAAGTCCATTTTTTACAAGAAACTGTTAAATCATCCATATATTCACAAAAATACATAAAATTTACTTTCCCGCCACTGATGTTTTGGAAAAAAAAAAGTAAAGGATTTAATACGCTAAAAAAATTAAAAAAATACGGTGCGAAAGTTTCGAGGGCTGTAGACATGGCTTACACTATTACTGAATTAAGCATGTTTAAGTATGCATCCATCTCGTCATGTGACTTGAGATGAGACCAATCAGCAGATATAAGGCTTTATTTCGACCAAATCGTCAGAGTTTTAATTTTGATAATTTAAAGAATCACGTCATTGTGTATTGTAACCAATTTTATAAGGCTAGTGTAATGGAAGTTGAATAAAACTGTTATTTTTTGTAGAAATAAATATTTCGCTACTTTTTTTCATCGTTTTTTAAATGTAACTTAACGATGTACGTCACGAGTGACCCTTTTCTTATAGTAAAACAATGTTTAATTTAATTTTATACTCCATACTTTTTCCATATTTTTGATTTTTTCGTCTATATTTTATGTACGTATTTTAGATTTTTTGACACATATTTATCCGGGCCCTACTAATGACATAAATTCACTAAGAATATTCTGTATATATGTATAGTAAATAAAATAAGTTTATTGTATAAAACTTTTATATAAATGAAATATTCCGGAATCGAATATCTGTTTTGTATAAAACACAATGTATACGACATACATACAGTACGCACAGAACCTCCTATTTCGATGCCAGTTAAACAATTTTTATGGTTGTACAACTTAAAATGTTGGAACAAAAATGCATAATTGTCATTGACGCAATTGGCCCGTAACCTTCAGTAACGAGTTATACGACATATATTTAACTTAAAATTACAACTGTTACCATATTTCAGAGAAATGTTAAAAATTACATCGACATTAAAATGAGTCGCGTCATTATTATACAACGTACCTACATAAAGATTGTAATTTAAGTGAAATTTTACAATTGAGTTATGTAATTGTAAATAATATAATATTTATTTGACAGAAGCAGCCTCGGCTTCTTGTACGAGACGTCAAACAAGCACGTGTCCGTGGAGGAAGTGACGTCAGCAAAACGTGACGTCATCCCGGAACTGGCTGCGAGGGTCCTGGAAACAGTTGACAGTGTTAAGAGTGACAGATTGATACTATTCCCAAAAGGTGAGTACTTGTATATGAAAGTTTGTTCAAAATCCGTTCAGCCGCTTCAATATTTCTCTATGATATGATAAATCTATGATATGATATGTCTATGATGGATATCATGAGTATAATATGTGATGTCTGTTCGTACATATGTTCATCGTAATTCAACATCGGACTTTGATAGATTCGAAAGTCTCTTATCAATGTGTATAGATAACATTTATAATGATAAAGATATAAATAATGTATAAGATATTAAATACATTTTCTAAGTATACCGGCTATTTATGTATGTTTTTTTTTGTATGAGAATAATTAATTGCTTCAATCGCTTGTATACAGCTAAACTATATCCTTGTTAGTACTTTTTAATTCTTTAATCATGAATCGTCGTAAATAATAGTAGTAGTATATAGAGAAGACACTCGAAACTGCCTGTTTTTAGTTTGACGACGTATAGTAAGAGTAGACTATACTAGTCGTCACAATAACTATCGCGAGCGCCTTAAGATCTCATATTAGTAATATATTATCATATACTTTGGCAGTTTCTGTCGTACCACCATATATTTTATCTGTAAAAAAATGCTAATATTTAGGTATTTTAAATTTTATAATCTATGAAATCAATACCAAAATGGCGCGTATTCAAATCAGCTGTTCCACCTGTCAACAACGATATGTCAAATTGTGCATCACAATTTTTTTTTAAATTTAAATTTCGAACACACGCAATTCTCAGTAATAAGGATTGCTACCAAGGAGGTAATATAAAAACGCGTTTCGTTTACTGTAACACAAGTATCGTTTGATCGAATGTTTTAGAAGTACGTTCGTGCGGGTTGTATTCTACCGTAACATTACGAATCGCGGAAGGATCGCTTTTCCTCGTCTTATTTTAAGTGCATTGTTTGAAAAACAAACAGTTTTATTGTTAAGAATGTACTTGAAAACAAATGTTACGATATCTTGTATAACGGCTCGTAGATTTATCTATTGAAACTTATAATACAATTACATAGATATGTAGATAAATGTAAATACATCAATTGCTTAAACACTTACAATTAGTTCAGTATGTACATTATTCCTACAATTCATATAAATCATGTAAGAATTGCAAAAATTAATACTTAGCAATCTCTCGTGTTTTAAACAATTCGAAGACCTATAATGACATATATTGATGTAATTTCAACTGTGATTCAAATGTATAAAGCACATTTTGCAATGAATAGCGTCGCTGCTATAATTTGTTACACTCGAGAGCTCAACCATTGTGGATATTTGTTCGATTTTTGTTAAGTATTTTAAGAGCATTGGCATTGACCTTTAGAGATATAGATGTATTTTGCTTTGGACACTATATATATACAATGTCGTCTGTCCGTCCGATGTAATGTCTACACAACCGATTCTAAATCATCGGCCATTGTTATTCGCATAATTGGTTCAATTCGTGCCTCATTCATACATGCATACCGAAAGAATTCTTATGTGTTAATTATAGTTTTCAATAAAAGAACATTCCAAATTTGAATTTTCATCGCTAATGTGTCGTCATTATGAATAGAGTTATTTAAAATAAGAACAATTAACCGTTAATGTCCAATGCTTACGACATTTACCATACGTTATTGCGGTTAATATTGACCTTATTGCCTAAGTATTAAAGGTCATATTCGCCTGCATCACAGACTGCTGTTTAAGGCGTGCATTCAATCCTCAGCCCGTCAATGAGTTGCATATTAATATAATTTTATAAAGATCTTTCTAGAACTTCAAATAACGCGTCGTTATGATAGAGTCAATATTATTGTTACGTAAAAAATTGTAAATTATCTTAAGTAATGTTAGTTTTATATGTATTCAATATTTCAAAAGGTCTCCAAACAGTTTTATTATTTATTTTGTTTTGTTAAGAGACCTATTTATAACATTTTGTTTTTTTTTCATTCAAGACGACTGTTTTTCACATTAATGTCGTTAACAAATCTTATCTGTTATCAATCGTTATCACTTTCTCTTAGTTATCGATGTAGTTGCAAACCACTACTTACAAATGTAGCACTTATATGTAATAATTGTAATAAAACGAACTATTACATATAAAAGTAAGGCTTTTCGCGTCATATGCTAGGTATAAATTAATTCCATACAATTGAAAATTATCTATATATAGATTTTAGACGTGTTTGTAAATGCTATCAGCTGTCTACCTGTTATAAATAAATGAGATTGTTTGCTCACTTATATTGTATTAAAACAGAACATGACTTGACTTGCTGTTTATATAAATATTATAAAATATGATTTCTAAGTTAAATCATCACTGCCACAATAATTATTAATTTATTATAATTTTGCTTATATATATGTATATATTTTCTCCTTTCTGTTTTTTTTATATACACATTTCTTTTCTCATTTCCTCTATCAAAAGGGTTTCTTTTAGAGATCTCTTTTAAGAGATAAATTATCCTTTGTGCATCTTATTGTTTATACTAATGTAACTATTTCTACTTTGGTACATAAATAAATAAATATATTTTATTTTTATCAAACATTCTTTGGCTGGACCGCCTTTTAATATAAAATAGAAATTCCAGTAGGTTCTTTCTACTTATATATTATTTACTTATGATATTTTTATTCCTCTATACTTACTTCTTGTAGAACCTAGTATCTCATCAGCCTGGAATTAATTGCATCAATGCGAATGTATGGAACATTTTTACCACAAGTTTTGCGTCGTCACACTATTTACGAAGTGTTTTCAGTTTCACATTTCGTCTGTCCGTGATCACGGATGCTGAAAAGTAACCATATCGTCGGGAGTATATAGTTTATGTTTAAAATAAAGTACGCGTAGTATATCCAAAAATATTAGTTTCATTTAAAACAATAGCCTAAATTAATACTGTAATGTTTATGAATGCAAAAACTTAAAACGATGAGGATGTAGTGAGAGGAATCATACTATAGTATACACAGAGTTGAAAAGTAGATGCAACTTATACCTACTGAAAATAAACAAATATATAATCGTATATCTTCTTTTTCTACCTGGAAATTTCCATGCTTTAGCCAGGGTCTGCCTTACATGTTGTGAATAGTTTTGGCTAATTGTTTTTACGACCGGCCGCCTGCCTGACATCAACCCTCTTTGGGAATAAATATGTATATATAATCTTATATGTTGAATTGAATACTATCTCTTTCGATATGAATAAAAAATATATTACACCTATTATTAATTAGTATATTTAAATAGTATATAATTAAAATTTAAATATGTACGCTGTACGACTATATAAATATTCGTGTGGCTATCGCGTGTCGACTGTAATGTGTCCACTTAAATATTGAGTGACAGGAATCAATATATTTTAATATTTACATATGTGTGCCTAATATATTATTGAATACGACACGCCTTGTTTGTGTTAATAACGTTCAATTTAAGTATTTTTAAAGCCTTCAATTTTTCATACATTATATGAAAACAAATAGTCATGGATACTAAAGTTTTGATCAAGGACACTTGTTTTGAAGTAAATAACTTCTTAACTATCGCCAGATCAAAGCAAAATCAAATTATAAAAATATACAAGCTGTTATATTTATATTAGGTGAGAGAAAGAAACAAAATTATACAATATACGTTGAAAACAAAATAAATTAAACACCAAACAAACCTTTTATAGCAATACTAGAAGACCCGGCGAACTTCGTTTCGCCCTATAATCAAGAAATATCTGTTACGTTTTTTTATTTATATTTTTGGAGTTTACCTATTAAAGCCATAAATCTCCGTGTTTTGAAGTGATTAGGAATGATTAATAGTTAATATGAGAGTTACACTGAGCTAGCAAAATAATAATTGTCAACGTTACTACTACACTTGATGCACAAACAATAACGATGGCCGACAACTGTGTAGGGAGTGAGAGAAGTCTAATTGTGTGAGAGAAACAGAAGACCGGCTTCGTTCTCATCCCTACTCCGTGCTGTTTACTGGGTCAGAAGTGACACCTGTAGATATCTGGCGGGGATAACTTATTAAATGACGATTGATCAGGTATCGACCGGAGATGAAAAAATGATTAAATTACTAAAATAGCTATTAAAAAATAAGGGTTGATCGTAGAAGGGTGAAAATTTAGGATTGTATGTATTTTTGTACGTTGTATCATAAAAAAATAGTAATTAAAAATTTTGTCTAAAAAATAAAAAATAAAAATTTAGGGGTGGACTACCCCTAACATTTAGGGGGATGAAAAATAGATGTTGGCCGATTCTCATAGCTACCGAATAAGCACAAAAAATTTCATCAAAATCGGTCAGGTTGTTTCGGAGGAGTATGGGCACGAAAACTGTGACACGAGAATTTTATATATTAGATTTTCATTATTTTCTCTACTGTTATTCTTGTATATAATATGTATATGTCAGGCGGAACAGATGATCCATCATATTAAATAAATAATTCTGATCAGGTCTTGTTAGGGTTATATTATGTTTTTAATGAAGATAATTGATTTCTATAATAAAATCTTTAAGTACCATAAAAAAATAATTTCCGCAAATGCAATATAGCGCGTCAAATGTTGCCATATCTATAAATTATACTGGACTTGCGTTAATTCTGTTTGAAGGATGAACAAACACCTGACAGGCAGCTGTCAAACGAATGACAGTTAAATAAAAACGTGCTCAGAAAAACCATTTATAAACCATAGTATAAAAAAAAAATTTAAAAAATGTTTGCGAACTAGATAGTCGATACATTGTCTTAAAGATTATATATAGACATTTTTCTTAATTTTTTTATGTAGGAGTTCTCAAGGAAATATGGGAAACAGAAAGAAAAGAGGTTTTCAAGTTATGGAGTAACAAGAAGTGGGGATTCATTCATGTGTATTGTATTAGAACATACCAATGATATTTAAGAGCTTCGCGAATATTCGTTTAAATAAAACTAACAGTTTTCGATGTACTACGCATTTTTTATTATTTTAAACATCATACTCCTGAAATTTCGGTTATTTTCACGGTTCAAAATTACTGCAGAATAACCAAAACGTCAAGACTATATACTTTAAAATAATAAAAAAATATGTAGTACATCCAAAAATATTAGTTTTTAAACATATTTATCCCATAACCTTTTAAAAAAATATAATCGAATTGTCAATTGTCTTAACGATGTACGTATAACGACACATCATTAAATATGAAACGCTAGGAAGGTGTGTTGTTTATTCACATATAAATAATATTGAACCGTCATTTATTGGGTCATTTAAAATTAATTACGTGTACTGATAAAGGCTATTAATTAGTATATACGTTGAAACAAGAACATTTACTGAACGTATTGTGAATAGGGTTGATACCATGACTTAGTACTAGGTCAGCTGGACTTATACACTACGAGGTTACACCTGGAATAACATCTGAAAATTAAACAGATATTTCAGCTTAATATTCATATAAATATATGTATTAATTTCTTTTAAACTCTTTTAATCTATATTGTTTGAGGTGCAGTTTCGGTCTTGATTTTTAATATTCAGCGTTATTTCCAGTTGTCTTACAAATTGGCTGACGCCAGTATTTATAGTTTTCAAATACAAGGTGATACTTAAAAATTACATTGGTTTAGTATCATAATTAATTATAATCAGACATAAAAATATTTTTAAGGATTATAGTACATATATTGTAATAATCTTTTACATTACAATATTATTTATCTTAACCTATTATAATCTGTGTAATAAGTAATAACTTCGAGTAAAATTAATTTTATAAGGTAGGTACGCCTCAGCCAATACACGTCCATATTTAGAAGTTGGTTACAATTTGACCCTCGTCTGAGGAGCTCGGGGTTAATTGATGGATGGAATGTTCACAGATGATCATCACGCTGGTAGATTTAATATGTCCCAGGCATCAGATTCAAGATTACTAGTCATTTGTATATGTATCGTATTAAAATATTTTATGTAGCCACATAGATTTTTAACTTCTAGGTAATGTGGTGATTTCAACGGGATTACTTATTACTTAACAGTTAAATATAAATGTTCATATCAATAAGCCTACCACGAGTTTTAGTTCTCATCGTATAACTTAATACATGTTTCAGTTTATTATATATCTTCGAACATGAACTATCATGTTAGCGTTGATGATAATCAACATATGATAGGTATGTATAAGAAAGTTAATAATTTATAAAATTAAAAAAAAACATGCAAGATGCATTAATAGTGTTTTATAATGGGACGCATGACGCACTTAATCGAGTAATTACAGATAGTAATGCCTTATATCATTTTTATAAAGAAAAAACTCTTATACAACTAGACCGATATTGACTCTACGCAGCTAAGAACCACCACAAAACAACTGGTTGTCAAATGAAAAAAACTCATCGAAATCGGTCGATCTGTTTGCGACATATGATGCTACAAACAAATACACTCACATCGACTTCAAACTTATAACTACTCCTAGCGTCAAAGTTTGAAACTAGACAATTGTGATGAAGCCACATTAAAAAAAAATATTACTTATTAGTCGTTTTGCTTCACAAAAAGATACTTTTTACATTTCTCCCATGCGAAATCCTCAGAAGCTTATATCACCACTAATCAGTTGATGGCGGCTCACGACCAGAACCCTCACAAGTTTGATCCAATTATCTTCAGAAGTGTACTCCTTAATGTCATTGTTGACATGATCACGTGACAACGGGATTAAGGAGTGCTCTCACGATAGAAGAATTTAATATAAAGAAACCTTGACCTTGCGTAATTAATATTATTACTAATTATTTACATACATCGATGGTTAGGAAGTTAAAATTATATACATCTTGTTTATAATTTCGTCCTTTTCCTCATTTTACTGCTTTTTTTTTGGAATATCCATTGTATTTAATCACAACCGATTAAAAGTATTATCTTGGCTCTATATTTAACAAAAAACGGAAAAAAATAAGTTCATAAGAAAGTAATTGTCATACAATATTCATTTTATCATTATTTAGTTCTTATTTACTGTTGTCAATATAAAAATAATCGTTTTTATTGTAACTGGAGCGATCTAAATTATTCCTTAATATTTTATTCAGACGGCCCGGCGTACTATTTAATAAAGCATATTTTTTTTCAGTGTTCCTACTAAATGACAAGCCATTAATAATGTTGAACGTGCAATGTAAGGATCGTCTGTGTGAAGAGGACAGCAACAAACTGAGAGAGATAGCTGATATGGCGCTCACTTCAAAATTGCAATTAGCTTTCTTCGGGGACTTTCTGAGTTGGAAAAATGTACAATGTATGTATACAAACCATTTTATACCTTGTCTTATACACATACGATACAATTTAGAATATTTAGTTGTGTTAACTGGATACCATTTTGATGCTAATTTGCGCTTTACTTGAAGTATTGTCTAGACTTGGTTATTTCTGTCTTTCATGGTTCTAGAAACTACTTGACATTGTTAGTTTAGGTCCGTTCAGCGCTAATTACAGTTTGGAATTAACTTTGATTCGATTCAAGGAATTTAAATCTTAACATCAAAATTTGCCAGATATATATCGTGTTTTATTAAAACCCTCTAACTATTGGTTGTCATGGCAACCGAAGCACCATTGCGCGGCAATTGTTGACGAAAATGAAAGACATTCGAAAATAAACTCACTGGAGTACATCTTAAGTTTTATTTTAATTCTAATGAAAATTTTATAGGCAATTAATAATAATTTATTTATTGTTAATCTTTGATTGCGTAATATTAGTTGATGTATTTATATAAATATATCTTCACACTAGCGTTAATAAATCTTGTGAAGACAATGTTTATACTTGTTTATGATTTAAAGACGATTCTGTGGAATGAGTCACGAGAACAAAGATTCAAACATTTAAACATAATTAATAACATAATATAATCTAATTAGCCAGATGTTTTGTAGCGGTAATGGTACACAGATATACTATATTTTATATTATAGAATATAGATTATTATTTAGAATATTTAGAATCAAACAAAGAGATTTTATTTCAATCAAATCTTTTAGCCTTTATTCTCTACTTAGAACAGTTCAGTTTATGTTAACTTAACTTAAACGAGAAATTATAAAGTATATAAAATTGTTCAAAGTTCAGTAATTTTTTTCGCAAAACAATAGGTGTATGACGTGAATAAAGATTTCTTCATTTAATACCCTTATCATAAATCACAGACATTATCTCGTGGCCTGTAATCACTGGCTTTAAATACCTGAATGACCTTCGACGTGCCTGGCTGTTCGAAGTATATTAGGAAATTGATTTTTATAAACTTGCACCTTAGTAATTGAATTTGGTAACTATTGGATTTGGAGACGCTGATGTAATTAATCATGAGCTATTAATACATTTAAATGAAAATAATATTTATCGGATGTACTACGTGATTTTTATTTTTATCGAAAATTACATACTCCCGACGTTTCGGCTACTTTACAGCAACCGTGATCACGGGCAGACGAAATGACAATAAAAATCTTGTACATCTGAAAAATATTAGTTTCATTTAAATGAATACTCGCGAAAATCATAAATCTCATTATAATGAACTGTTACTTCAGTGAAAATAAATGAAATGATAACTTCTTGTTTGCTGAAAGTAAATATAAGTTTTATATCAGTGACTACCGAGTACCGCTTCATGAGTTTGTAATGCAATATTTTTATAAAGTATCGCAGGAAGCTAACGTTTGATAAGAAACGGATTTAATATAACATTGTAATTTATCGAGTGTGGGATTATAAAGATATGATGTGTTGTAACTATGGGTGATATTTATTTTCAGGTTTACGTAACTGTGAATCGGTTTTGGATACGGCGATAATTTCGTCCTTGGATTCTAATGTGGAGGGACAGAGTGTTATATTATGTGTGGGGGATGTTGAAGGGAGCTCCTTCAACGGCCATGCAGGCGTCATCAAGACAGGGCTCTGCCACCTCGCTATACCTCGCGGCTGGTCGTGGGGAGGCCCTGCGTCACCATTCTGTCCGATATGGGCCGAAATCAATGTACCAGATTGACGATCATAATAATAAAATATTAGAAACAATTCGCATTTGTATTGTAACGCAATCGGCAATATGATATAATTCTGTTCTATTTATTTATTTTTTTCTCTAAAGCGGCCATCTTTAACGAATGTCACTTTTGCCGCCGTTTTTCCATCATTAGGGTTGTAATTTCGCTTTAAGCACAGATTGAATATTTTTCTTAAACGATGCCATGTTTACAATTAAAATTAAAAAGTGTTTAAATTATATATTTACTGTAGATTCTATTCTATTGAATTATTTAAAGATATTAATATTAATGATGATGTATATAATAGTTTTAAAGGGAACCAATGAATTTCTTTATTGTTACATAAATAAAGTATTGCGTCCTTATTTTCCTCAGTGTTTTGCCGAATTATATTTCAAATGTATTATTACTTATTAGTTTATTGACATAAAAAATGAATATTCTTCTACAAATCTTTCATTATCAAGACTATATAGATGGATGCCAAATAATTTAAGTGATCGTTAGTTTTCGGAGTTAATGCTAACGCTTTCCATTTATAGATGTAAGCATCTGTCTATGTTTTAACGAAACGTCGTACCTGATGTGCTTTCCTTCGCTACATGAAACAAGTCGGTGTATTAAGATATAAAAGTTCTTAATATTTTTATATAATTGTACGTGAATTCGTATTTATTACCGACGGAATGTAAATGGCGGAAATGTAAATACTTTTTTTTAAAACTGATATTATTAAATCTATTTCTAAGTGTTGCCAGTTTTCAAAACTGTCGCCGCGATCCATTTAATGCTAAATTATTTTTATAATTCAAATCAAAGAAATTAATAGCTGTGTAATTTATTTATGTTTTTTTTTTATATATGTAATTAATTTCCTTCCGTTACACATAAGAACTATTTAGATTTATCGCATTTTACCTACTTTTGTGATAAAAATTTAATTTATTTTTTTTGTATGTATATTAGTTTTTATTGAATAACGATTGTTACCGACGTGTAATTTATTTGGTGGATTTTAAAATAAATAAATGAGATTTTCATTTGTAGTATTATTTATACCTTTAAGAATTTATTACTTTTATAAGTTATTGGATAACTCAGAACAAATACATCATATACATATTACATGCCTATGCTTACTGACGCTAAACAAAACAATAGTGGTTATAAATTCATAATAATTCAATTGTCAAAAAGCGCAACTAATTTAAATGAATTGTAAATTGTTAATAGTATTTTCATTTATTACAAAACGAAAAAATTAAATATCGTCAGAATTGAAGTAAATTTTTGAATTTAAATACAAAATATATAACACAACACAAACTAATGATCTCAATAATTTTATATCTATACATATATATAAAAGAAAGTCGTGTTAGTTACTCCACTTATAACTCATGAACGGCTGAACCGATTTAGCTGAAAATTGGCAGGGAGGTAGTTTAGAGCCAGGAAATTTTTATCCCGTTCGAGAGCATTCCCGTGGGACTTGACATGAAACGTCAGTCACTATAAAACGTGGAATAACGAAACACAACAGACAGCTATGCAATTGACGTATAATGACAGATATGTAATGACGTATGGATGACAATTTGATATTTGTAAGAGAACTACTATATAAAAATAAGTCCGGTTTTCCACCCTGACGCTGTAACTTGGAAAGGTCTCAGGCTCCGTGAGATTTATAACAAAAAATTTCAATAGAAAGGCGGGAAAATCTTTTTTCACATACAGGGCCATCATACATAACATCTACTACAAATCAATATTTTAAGTAGATGGCGCCGGTGCATGATACATTGTTTGACAGCAACTCATTGTTCTCTGCTCAGTTAATTTCATGTGACAAACGGGTATTTTATTTGTAGTTTGAACTCTTAAAACCATTTAGTATTTGCGGTATAAATTTGAAAAATTATTGTTTTTCACATGGGCGTTATATTTTGCGTGTTCACGAGTTTGGAAACCATCCGCTTTATTTGTGTTAAAGTTAGACCAAAAAACAAAAAATGTGGTTTACAAAGGACCACTTCAATGAAACGGATAATTTGGTTGACACGTATAACGCTTCGATTCGGTATCTACTTTGGATTCACTTTCATTAAATTAGAGAAGTTCAACTAAATAACACTTCATTTTTGTAATCAAAATGAATTCATTACTGTTGTGAAATGAAATAAAAATTTACCTTTTCAAATATAAAACAAAAAAAAAACTTCATCTTTTAATCACCCAACGAAATAATACAGGGTGACTGGTGAATTACTATCTATATTTAAGGAGAATACTCGGTACATGATTCTCATTCGAATTATGTAAAAAAAATAGGCACTTAATTTTTGACCAAATTTCCGTATAAATAAATAAAGTGTGGACACGTTCCAAGTGTTCTAAGTGTGGACGCGTGCGGCGGCGTGCTGGTACAACACCACGCCGCCACACGCTTGTGTGTGTGTGTGTGTATACCTAATCTGTAGGGTGTTCACACGATGCGTAATTAATTACATAACTTTTGGTTAACTTTACTTATAAGTTTATTAATATTTATGTTATATTAATTTTTATTTTGTCATATATGATCGTCAAATATCACGTCCTCAAGTATCGATGTAGTATGAAATAAAAATGATAACTTTTGAGCGAAGAAAATAAAAAATAAAACAATTTTACTGTTACTATTTCAGCATGCAGTGGTTACCTGTAACTGAGGTAGCTTAATTGTAATAATTTGAATGGTTGTATTTGTGTATACTTTGTTGGCGATCCAATAAATAAAATAAAAAAAAATATTATGAAATACTAAAACAGGACCCAAAACATGTTTCGCCCAATTTTAAGGTTGTAAGCCGAACTCTTTGCTATCTTAGAATACTAAATGACAGCTTTATTTAATCTTTACCTCTCTTTTACATCTTCTGTACTATACATACTTCTTTGTTCATATTAAACCTGATTTAACATCCTTGGAGATATTGACAATCAACAGTCATTAAGTAACGAAGTTAACACGAACATTGAATAAGATTATCACAATGAATAAGACGAGACAAAATGCACAGAAAATGCTCTTCAATCACGAAACCACGTACAGGACCGACTACTACAAATATGATATTAAAGAATATCCGAAGACACAGTACAGAGAGAAACAGTCGCATCACGAGCGAGGTCTACCTACGTATAAGAATTGTCACACTCTGATGGAGTGGAAAGACCAGAGACCGCCGTTTAGTTGTTACCATGTAGCCAAAGATGTACTCCGGACCAATCCTAATAACGTGCAAAGACCCTGTGTAAGTGTTCATTCATTGAGTAGGGATGTCTCTCGTTTAATAACGTCGTGTTAATATATTTCCTGCAGGCTAAACCTGTAGATCATGATCGAGAAGACGCCCAAAAGACGCGCCCTCGTCTGGTGATGACGCCAGCGGTCAGTTTGGATGACATTGAGGATTCTAGCGCGAGGGACATCATTATATCTGATATGTACATGACTGATAACATGAAGAACATGAAGATAGCTGTCATCACAGCTCCACGCGAGGGCGCCAAGGCCCCACTAACGGGTCGACCTGCACCAGCTAATCCTGTAAGTACCTATCTACTAAATTGAGAACTAGACAATACACCAATATGTGGATGGTTTTATATGTCCGATGAAAAGTATATAGTACTTATTATCTATGTCAAAAATCATTTCAAATTTCATGGAGATGAAGTAGCAGCAGCAATTATATTTTACGTAATTATAGTCCTTTTTTCTGATGCAATAAAGCCACCATAAAATTACTACGTATTTATATTAATTTAAATGTAATATATATTACACACATGCTTTCTCTCAGGTTTTCTTGCCAAAATATCAACCTCCTTATGTGTCTCCGGAGTGGCGTATGGAGTCTGTGAGTTGGGATCAAAAACAATTGAGAAGTCATTGCGATCCCACTCAGCGGTTCTGGCTCCTACATGAACTGCCTAAGTATTTATTAAAACTTTATACAAATGATACACATTTAAATAATACTTTTTTTTAACAAATTTGAATATCATAGAAGGAGGAAAATATAGATTTAAATTTAATGTGCGCAATCTAGTTTTTAAACTATTATTTATAATAAGTTTTAGAATGTTGTGACATGGAAAACTTTCAAATTATACATATGTATATTAAAATGTGTTTTTAGATGCAAGGCGTGTGAAGAAACTGCCGTGGTTGTCGCTCATAGAAAAATGTTAAGGAATTTGAAACATAATAATGTTTGAGTTTCTTTCATTGGCTGTTTTTAAATTCCACCATTTTAATTTTCATAAACGTCTACATTCTTTATGACCACTCCATATTTTAGTGTAGAGTATTCGTGTAAGTAGGTCAGGTCAAATGTGTGACATTTTACGTTTTGTCTATATTATTTATAGACACAACCAATTATTCCATATTCATGTTTAAATTATGTACTTAGTTTGTTAATATTTTTTTTGTATTTTGTAAGATTTTGTCTTGTTTTTAGAGAGAAGTTAATATTTATTTTAATTTTGTGCTTATTTTATTTAAGAAATGTAATATATTAATATAATAATTAAGAATTATGATGTTTTTTATTTTTAATTGTCTTATAGTTTATTATAGCACCGACATTATGAATACGTTCAAGATACATACTTATTTGTTAGATTTCAATCATAAAATTATCAAATCATTTTTCTCAATCGGAGCACTCACGGTTTTTTCACGATTTTATTCCTTGCGATTTAAATATTAGTTTATTTAATTTTCTGTAATCATTAAATGAAAGTTATCATTTGAGAACTTTAAATTAAACTCATGGCATTTTTTAAGAAATCAATGAAATTTTATATTGAACGATTTTTCAAAACCGGTCGTATCAAAATAAAAATAAAAAAACATTTCTTTAAATGTCTAACTTGATTCTTCCTAGAAATCAAAGTTTAAGTCAAACATATCACGTAATTATGATGAATATCGAGAAAAATTTCTTTCAATCCCATTTTTGGTATACGGACTTAAATAAATAACAATCTAAATGACTTAATTGTTATGATAGGTTTGTTCGTTTAGCTTAACATTTGATTCTTTTTGGTCTCCATATCACCGTTTGTATTAGACTGAATGGATCAATTTCTCCTTGTACAGAGAACTATTAGGTTTCAGAACCTTTACATAAGTTATAGATCTGGTCTCTTCTTTTTTCATCATAGTCTTAGCACTAGAAAAAAAACAATAATATTTTTTCATGTTCTGTTAAATAACTAACAGAAGATAAATAGATCATATCCAAAACAGACACCATCAAATGAAAATATGTATTAGAAAAAAAGGTTACATAATGTTTATTTAAAGGATAATTAAGCAATTAGGTGTTACAAGTGTTATTGTTTGTCACTATCTATAAATAATTTATTATATAATTGAATAATTATGAAAATCGGCTTCGGCTATACAAAATATTTATGTTTAATAAACATATTAACCGACACGGTGCGGTTTTTATTTGGGTGTTCGAGGACCGTGACAGAAGTAGGTCAACATTCATTATATAATTAGGACCTCACCCCTGAAAGTGTGAAAAAGATAGGTTAGGCAGTTTTAAAGAGATTAAACACAATCATTTGAATATATTATAATAGTAAAAAGATAATAAAATGAACAATAAAATTAATGCGTTAATAAATCTGTCATGCTACGAAATTTGGCACTGAGAAAGTTTCCGTACATAGGTAAGAAAGCTCAGTTATAAAAATGGCTCCGTCGATATCAATTTTTATTAATATTTTAATATAACCTTCTTACTTCGATGACAATAATGAAATATATCAGACGACTGCAAATTTTTATTACTTTTAGACGAAAGTAATAAAAAATTGTAACATATTTTGTACACCAATTTATTTTATACGTTATATTAAGTTTTTATATTTTTTTCCTTAAAAATGCCCGATTTAAGACTTCTAGAAAATATGCTATTCAATTATGGCACATCAAATCGAATTGATTTTCGAGATGGTGAAATAGATATAAATCCGTACAGAACAGTTTATATTCCGAAACCTCGGTGTCTAAGAGTGCGACCTCCGCCTCTAAAAGACATACATACGCTCTCATACTGGAAAAATCCACACATACCGACAGAATTACTCGTGAAACCTAAAGAAATAGTCCGGACCAATCCAAGACACATACAACAGAAACAAGTGAGTTCATTGTGAAAATTATATACATATACAAGGATTTGGAAATTAGTTTGTATAATATTATTCTTTAGAATTGCTTTATTTTGAAGTTTGATTTCAAATAATATCTATATTCGTCCAAATAATAAAAACATTGACATTATATACGATATCATAAGATTCCAGTGCGAATGAAACTAGCAGAAAAAGAATTCTATACTGATTTCTGACCTTAAATTAATTTATATTTTCTTATTCTTCTGAGGAAAATCTAGTGGATCTGGATCGAGAGAACGCTCAAAAGACTCGACCAAGACTTGTCATGAGTCCCGCAATAAGCTTGGACGACATAGCTGATGCAGAGTAAATAAAAAAAATACATTCAAATATATGAACTACATACAATACGATATAGATAAAAATATACCTGCCTTAGAAACAACCCATACATTACAACAGTTCAGGATCATGAACATATTATTTGTCACAGGATCCGGAATCTCTTAATCCGCTTCATGTACCAGACTACAATGCATAGCGCTTACTGCGGCGTCACTACCAACAACGCGACCAGAGCACCCTTCACCGGACTACCGGCTCCAGCGAACCCGGTAAAATATTTAATGTAGAACATTATATATAAGACGAGACGAAACTTCTCAGCATTCAATGTATTTACCGTGCGAGTGCCGGGTCCGTCCTTGCAGGGAGAGGAGCTTCAACAGTGCCTGGGACTTGCGACCCAGGTGTAGGTTTAAGGGGCTCCTATCTAACACGCATTAAACGCTCACCTCCACCGTCCAAGCTCCTCTCTCTATCTAACCAAATTTGAAAAAACTACTCGAGCTGCTTTCGAAGTATATTCCAAGAATGAATAGATGTTAGTTCTGGACAGGCCCATGTGTTTTAGTAGGTTGTAGAGGGATTTAGCTGTTATACCTTTCACCCCCACTTCTTCTTCTACCTGGCAATTTTCCAGCTTTAGCCAGGGTCTGTCTTACATGTTGTGAATAGTTTTGGCTAATTGGTTTACTTTGAGAAATCTCGCGCCCACTTCTACCGAGTACGAATCCAAATATGTCTAGCAGTAGTATTTAACTAACGATATAAATAACTAGATAACGTTGGAGAAGCTGCAAGTTCCGTACGTGTCACCGGAATGGCGTATGGAGTCCGTTGGCTGGGACGGGAGACAGCTGAGGGCTCACTGTGACCACAACAAAGAATTCTATCTCAGGAGACCCTTGAGGTAACAAATAAATATTACACTTATTGTTATACAGGAATTATTGGTGACTCGAAAAGGGTCCTACGAATAGGTAAGGAATTCGTCAAGAATTCTACTTATAAAAAAAGTTATAAATACTACATACTTATTAAGAAGTATTTTTTACACAATATTTCTGTGATGAGAAATGTGCATATCGTTTCTTAATAATAATTCAACATAATTAAACGTTTGGTCTAAAAAGTTGATTTTACTTTGTACTTATTTTGTTTCCGACAATTTTCTTCTGTCTTGTGAATATTTGCATAAAATGCTTTAAGTAATTGTCTTTCAAGTTGTCAATTTGCTTATTATAGTCCGTTAGACTAAAGCTGAGCTTTGTATTTGTGTGAGTGAAGGTAAAAGTAGAGTTAGACAAAAAACTTTTAGGATTAAATTTTATTATATTTTAAATAGATACATAAGTTCTATAAAATAAGCAAAACTTGTAAAAGGCCAGATGAAAATATTATGAATATTAGGGAAAAAAATTATTGATTAATAAATATTTTGAAAAAACTGCAAATTCTTATTCACTTGACATTGCGTTTTCAACATTGGATTTTGCTACCAGTACAAAGGTGAAGTGAGGAAGGTGTGGGGCGGAGTAAAAGCAGAATAAACCGGTTCAAAACTAGAAAAGACGTAGCATTCAAAAATTTGACATTACACCTACACTATCCGTGTGCACTCACACAAATGTAAAGCTCAGCTTAAATCAAACGCAGTATAACTAGTAAGTTCTTTGAATGTAAGATTTTCGTTATACATATTAAAAATGTTTTTCCATATTTAGGTGTGAAGCGTGTAAAGTTACAGCAGCCGTGGAAGCTCAGAGGAAATTGATGAGGGAAATGAAAAAAACATGAAATTTAATATCACTTTATTGAAACAACACCAGCCGCAGCGAATCAGATAACTTTTTTCTTATATACCTCGATGATATTAACATTATAAAGCTCATTCAAATAAACGATTATATACAATCTTTTGGAATTATTTTAACATCACAGGAAGTCATGACTAACGACTACTTCATTTTAAGTGCCAAATTAATATGCCACATAATAAATCGACAAAAAATATAATAATAAAGTCGATATTTAATTAAAATCATAGAAATTTAAATCATTACATTCAATACAATCAAATTCAAAGATAATATAGGTTTATATTCGAGGTTCTAAGTGATTTAAGTCAATATAATTTTTGGTCAAATTATTAATTATAGTTTAGTCCCCCAGCATGCCTTAACTACGCCGAAGTGTTTATATAATTAATCTGAATCTGCTAAGCTTTCTCTTAAAGAGTAGAATAACTTGAAGATTTTTGAAAGAATATTATTTGATTATAACAAGTAGTAGGTTAATATTTAATAACACAGTTAATATATTTTATTTTTTCATCATTTGATGTTATGATCGAATCTAAGTAATGTATTCGTTTATAAATTATAAGAGTTTTAATGTATTTTAATATTTATGAGTACATACAAAATACGAAACAAATATTATATACAGATTATAAAACAATATTTTGAGATAAAAATACATCACGTTTATAATAATCTATTGAAAATGTTTTGTCAAAGCTTCTTCGCAAGCAAAGCCGACCTAATAAGTATCTTACATTATAAGGAGGCGGTCGAAATGAAAGTTTAATACATATTAATAATAACGAAATATCTTAAAAATAAATAATTGCATTTTCCATACAGTACTGAACATAAACAAGAAGAACAAATATATTAAATGATTTTAATTTTTATATATCATATATAATTGTATTCAATAACCATACATTCCTCATAATGTAGCTAGCACCTGATTTATATATCCTTGAATATTTAAGTATCATTTGTTATACATATAGACATTACATTATTAAGTTTCATTCTACATCAACAAAAACTTTCATTATTGAGAACAGATTAATAGTAAGGACACTTTCTATGACATTATAGTCCGTTAGACTTAAGCTGAGCTTTGCATTTGTAACAGTGAAAGTTAAAGTAGAATTAGACAAAAAACTTTTAGAATTGTATATATTTAATAATAATTTTGAAAAAACTATAGAAATTCTTATTCACTTGACATTGCGTTTTCAACATTTGATTAAACTACCAGTACAAAAGGTGAAATGAGGAAGGTGCGGTTCTGAGTAAAAGCAGAATAAACCGGTTTTTAACTAGAAAAGAACGTGGCATTCAAAAATTTGATATCACGCCTACACTATCCGTGTGCACTCACACAAATGCAAAGCTCAGCTTAAATCAAACGCACTATACTTGGTCAGATATATTCTTCCCTCTCTTTCTCTCTCTCTCACACAAGACACATGTTAGCGAGAGCGGCGGCCGCGTTCTGTCTCACTCTAGCGTCGTTGTCAGTGAGCAGCGCCAGGAGGCGGGTTCTAGCTCGCTGTGTGACGTCACGCTCCAGGGACGCGCGCTCACTTGATGGGAGGCGAGCCAACTCCGAATATAGAAGACCTGGAGAATATATGTATTATTATTATATATTGATCGATGTACAGTAGAAACTCAACTTATTCTGATATCAAGATTTAAACTGTCCGTTTTTCTAAAGCCTGCAATTAAACATGTCAATCAAGTTAAACTGAGGTTCATAAAAAGCAGATATAACAATAATGAATTTTGATCGGTTTATTGAATGTGGATTCTCGACAATTTAGCTTCATATACTTAGTGAAAACTACTTTATACCCAATAAGTTTTAGTGGATCATATTTGAATTATACAGGGTGACTGGTGAATTACTATCAATATTTAAGGAGAATACTCGGTACATGATTCTCATTCGAATTATGTAAAAAAAATAGGTACTTAATTTTTGACCAAATTTCCGTATAAATAAATAAAGTGTGGACACGTTCCAAGTGTTCCAAGTGTGGACGCGTGCGGCGGCGTGCTGATACAACACCACGCCGCCGCACGCGTGTGTGTGTGTGTATACCTAATCTGTAGGGTGTTCACACGATGCGTAATTAATTACATAACTTTTGGTTAACTTTACTTAGAAGTTTATTAATATTTATGTTATATTAATTTTTATTTTGTCATATATGATCGTCAAATATCACGTCCTCAAGTATCGATAGTAATTCACCAGTCACCCTGTATATATCGATACTTCCCACGTAAGTTGTTGTAAGCCACAAAAATGCTATTTTGCTTTTTTTATGAAAAATATCCTATTATGGATCATTACATCCATTCAAATTTAAAAAAAACAACAAAAACACTATTTTTAAAGGATTTGTCAGACGCATAATGTTGTAATTTTCAAACGCTAACGGATTAAACTGATGTATATGCCTATGCAATTGTTTACGCGTGGCGCGAGGTGGGTAAAATCACGCACTCACGTCGCGTATGAGTTACATACAACAGAGTAAGACTTATGTTTTTCAACGTATACAGTTGTAACTTTCATATACCACAAGTGATGTTACTTGAGCACCGCGTTATAATGTTGTAAGTATCAGATACAACACCTTTTTAGCTTCTATTCGGAAGTATAATGTCGTATGAATAATATAACAGCAATATCTCCGCAAATAGGCATATTAATTAAAATATCTTTTAACGTAGTTAAGAAGACTATTATGTTAAATTTAAATACGATATTTTAAAAAGATGCATCAATAAATGCAGATTTTGGTTTAATTTGAATCTTTGAAACGCTCTACTATAAAATTACAGTTTTGGATATACAACAATCTACATGGGAGGTATCGATATATCGTCGGGGATAGTGCAAAACAGCGTAGCTACCATTGTAAAATTCTAAGTATCTTCATTGGAAGCAGATTATAAGAAGAAAGTTTGAGCTGAAATATTTTCTATATATGTACTTCAAAGGTAATTTTATCACAATCCTACTAATATTATAATTGCGAAAGTTTGTGAGTGTGTGTGTAACGTACACTCACAAACTTCTACACGCTCAAACGGCTTAACTGATTTTGATAAAATTTTGTATACAGGAAGCTGGCTACTTTACATCCCGGAAATCTCGAAAATCCGCGGGGCGCAGGTAGTTAGTAATAAATTAAACAGTAAATAAATAATATATAGTTAGTGTGACCTATCAACAAGGGCGCGTGAGGTTTGATCTCTTCCCTGGCGCCTTGCAGGTAGTGTGAAGCGGTCTCGGTGCAGGCGAGTACAGCGGCGGGCATCTCGTCCGCCAGGTGTCTCAGTAGCGCCGACAGGAACTCGTCCAGGTACAACCGACCTTCATCCACCAGGTGAGTCTGCACGAAGTCGTTGGCCTTCTTCACATGGAACGTCTTGAACACCTGTCGTAGGGTGAACTTACTAGCCTGGAATGAGATAGCAATAATATATTATATACATACTTTATACAGGGTGACTGGTGAATTACTATCGATATTTGAGGACGTGATATTTGACGATCATATATGACAAAATAAAAATTAATATAACATAAATATTAATAAACTTCTAAGTAAAGTTAACCAAAAGTTATGTAATTAATTACGCATCGTGTGAACACCCTACAGATTAGGTATACACTGACACTCACACATACGCATGTCGTGACGTGGTGTTGTATCAACACGTCGCCGCACGCGTCCACACTTGAACACTTGGAACGTGTCAACACTTTACTTATTTATACGGAAATTTTGTCAAAAATTAAGTGCCTATTTTTTTTACATAATTCGAATGAGAATCATGTACCGAGTATGCTCCTTAAATATTGATAGTAATTCACCAGTCACCCTGTATACATGACTGTTTTGTATCATACGTGAAAAACTAGCTAGTATAACTAGTAAGTTCTTTGAATGTAAGATTTTCGTTATACATATTAAAAATGTTTTTCCATATTTAGGTGTGAAGCGTGTAAAGTTACAGCAGCCGTGGAAGCTCAGAGGAAATTGATGAGGGAAATGAAAAAAACATGAAATTTAATATCACTTTATTGAAACAACACCAGCCGCAGCGAATCAGATAACTTTTTTCTTATATACCTCGATGATATTAACATTATAAAGCTCATTCAAATAAACGATTATATACAATCTTTTGGAATTATTTTAACATCACAGGAAGTCATGACTAACGACTACTTCATTTTAAGTGCCAAATTAATATGCCACATAATAAATCGACAAAAAATATAATAATAAAGTCGATATTTAATTAAAATCATAGAAATTTAAATCATTACATTCAATACAATCAAATTCAAAGATAATATAGGTTTATATTCGAGGTTCTAAGTGATTTAAGTCAATATAATTTTTGGTCAAATTATTAATTATAGTTTAGTCCCCCAGCATGCCTTAACTACGCCGAAGTGTTTATATAATTAATCTGAATCTGCTAAGCTTTCTCTTAAAGAGTAGAATAACTTGAAGATTTTTGAAAGAATATTATTTGATTATAACAAGTAGTAGGTTAATATTTAATAACACAGTTAATATATTTTATTTTTCATCATTTGATGTTATGATCGAATCTAAGTAATGTATTCGTTTATAAATTATAAGAGTTTTAATGTATTTTAATATTTATGAGTACATACAAAATACGAAACAAATATTATATACAGATTATAAAACAATATTTTGAGATAAAAATACATCACGTTTATAATAATCTATTGAAAATGTTTTGTCAAAGCTTCTTCGCAAGCAAAGCCGACCTAATAAGTATCTTACATTATAAGGAGGCGGTCGAAATGAAAGTTTAATACATATTAATAATAACGAAATATCTTAAAAATAAATAATTGCATTTTCCATACAGTACTGAACATAAACAAGAAGAACAAATATATTAAATGATTTTAATTTTTATATATCATATATAATTGTATTCAATAACCATACATTCCTCATAATGTAGCTAGCACCTGATTTATATATCCTTGAATATTTAAGTATCATTTGTTATACATATAGACATTACATTATTAAGTTTCATTCTACATCAACAAAAACTTTCATTATTGAGAACAGATTAATAGTAAGGACACTTTCTATGACATTATAGTCCGTTAGACTTAAGCTGAGCTTTGCATTTGTAACAGTGAAAGTTAAAGTAGAATTAGACAAAAAACTTTTAGAATTGTATATATTTAATAATAATTTTGAAAAAACTATAGAAATTCTTATTCACTTGACATTGCGTTTTCAACATTTGATTAAACTACCAGTACAAAAGGTGAAATGAGGAAGGTGCGGTTCTGAGTAAAAGCAGAATAAACCGGTTTTTAACTAGAAAAGAACGTGGCATTCAAAAATTTGATATCACGCCTACACTATCCGTGTGCACTCACACAAATGCAAAGCTCAGCTTAAATCAAACGCACTATACTTGGTCAGATATATTCTTCCCTCTCTTTCTCTCTCTCTCACACAAGACACATGTTAGCGAGAGCGGCGGCCGCGTTCTGTCTCACTCTAGCGTCGTTGTCAGTGAGCAGCGCCAGGAGGCGGGTTCTAGCTCGCTGTGTGACGTCACGCTCCAGGGACGCGCGCTCACTTGATGGGAGGCGAGCCAACTCCGAATATAGAAGACCTGGAGAATATATGTATTATTATTATATATTGATCGATGTACAGTAGAAACTCAACTTATTCTGATATCAAGATTTAAACTGTCCGTTTTTCTAAAGCCTGCAATTAAACATGTCAATCAAGTTAAACTGAGGTTCATAAAAAGCAGATATAACAATAATGAATTTTGATCGGTTTATTGAATGTGGATTCTCGACAATTTAGCTTCATATACTTAGTGAAAACTACTTTATACCCAATAAGTTTTAGTGGATCATATTTGAATTATACAGGGTGACTGGTGAATTACTATCAATATTTAAGGAGAATACTCGGTACATGATTCTCATTCGAATTATGTAAAAAAAAATAGGTACTTAATTTTTGACCAAGTTTCCGTATAAATAAATAAAGTGTGGACACGTTCCAAGTGTTCCAAGTGTGGACGCGTGCGGCGGCGTGCTCATACAACACCACGCCTCCGCACGCGTGTGTGTGTGTGTGTATACCTAATCTGTAGGGTGTTCACACGATGCGTAATTAATTACATAACTTTTGGTTAACTTTACTTAGAAGTTTATTAATATTTATGTTATATTATTTTTTATTTTGTCATATATGATCGTCAAATATCACGTCCTCAAGTATCGATAGTAATTCACCAGTCACCCTGTATATATCGATACTTCCCACGTAAGTTGTTGTAAGCCACAAAAATGCTATTTTGCTTTTTTTATGAAAAATATCCTATTATGGATCATTACATCCATTCAAATTTAAAAAAAAACAACAAAAACACTATTTTTAAAGGATTTGTCAGACGCATAATGTTGTAATTTTCAAACGCTAACGGATTAAACTGATGTATATGCCTATGCAATTGTTTACGCGTGGCGCGAGGTGGGTAAAATCACGCACTCACGTCGCGTATGAGTTACATACAACAGAGTAAGACTTATGTTTTTCAACGTATACAGTTGTAACTTTCATATACCACAAGTGATGTTACTTGAGCACCGCGTTATAATGTTGTAAGTATCAGATACAACACCTTTTTAGCTTCTATTCGGAAGTATAATGTCGTATGAATAATATAACAGCAATATCTCCGCAAATAGGCATATTAATTAAAATATCTTTTAACGTAGTTAAGAAGACTATTATGTTAAATTTAAATACGATATTTTAAAAAGATGCATCAATAAATGCAGATTTTGGTTTAATTTGAATCTTTGAAACGCTCTACTATAAAATTACAGTTTTGGATATACAACAATCTACATGGGAGGTATCGATATATCGTCGGGGATAGTGCAAAACAGCGTAGCTACCATTGTAAAATTCTAAGTATCTTCATTGGAAGCAGATTATAAGAAGAAAGTTTGAGCTGAAATATTTTCTATATATGTACTTCAAAGGTAATTTTATCACAATCCTACTAATATTATAATTGCGAAAGTTTGTGAGTGTGTGTGTAACGTACACTCACAAACTTCTACACGCTCAAACGGCTTAACTGATTTTGATAAAATTTTGTATACAGGAAGCTGGCTACTTTACATCCCGGAAATCTCGAAAATCCGCGGGGCGCAGGTAGTTAGTAATAAATTAAACAGTAAATAAATAATATATAGTTAGTGTGACCTATCAACAAGGGCGCGTGAGGTTTGATCTCTTCCCTGGCGCCTTGCAGGTAGTGTGAAGCGGTCTCGGTGCAGGCGAGTACAGCGGCGGGCATCTCGTCCGCCAGGTGTCTCAGTAGCGCCGACAGGAACTCGTCCAGGTACAACCGACCTTCATCCACCAGGTGAGTCTGCACGAAGTCGTTGGCCTTCTTCACATGGAACGTCTTGAACACCTGTCGTAGGGTGAACTTACTAGCCTGGAATGAGATAGCAATAATATATTATATACATACTTTATACAGGGTGACTGGTGAATTACTATCGATATTTGAGGACGTGATATTTGACGATCATATATGACAAAATAAAAATTAATATAACATAAATATTAATAAACTTCTAAGTAAAGTTAACCAAAAGTTATGTAATTAATTACGCATCGTGTGAACACCCTACAGATTAGGTATACACTGACACTCACACATACGCATGTCGTGACGTGGTGTTGTATCAACACGTCGCCGCACGCGTCCACACTTGAACACTTGGAACGTGTCAACACTTTACTTATTTATACGGAAATTTTGTCAAAAATTAAGTGCCTATTTTTTTTACATAATTCGAATGAGAATCATGTACCGAGTATGCTCCTTAAATATTGATAGTAATTCACCAGTCACCCTGTATACATGACTGTTTTGTATCATACGTGAAAAAGCTATGCAATATGAAAAAAAAGCTGAAAAAAAAATCCGGAAAACCCCAAAAACAGCGCTTTTCTAACCAACTGATCGTCCAACTGATCGACCAACTGATCGTCCAACTGATCGTCCAACTGGTCGACCAACTGATCGACCAACTGATCGTCCAACTGATCGACCAACTGATCGACCAACTGATCGACCAACTGATCGACCAACTGATCGACCAACTGATCGACCAACTGATCGACCAACTGATCGTCCAACTGGTCGACCAACTGATCGACCAACTGATCGACCAACTGATCGTCCAACTGATCGACCAACTGATCGACCAACTGATCGACCAACTGATCGTCCAACTGATCGACCAACTGATCGACCAACTGATCGACCAACTGATCGACCAACTGATCGACCAACTGATCGACCAACTGATCGTCCAACTGGTCGACCAACTGATCGACCAACTGATCGACCAACTGATCGACCAACTGATCGACCAACTGATCGTCCAACTGATCGTCCAACTGGTCGACCAACTGATCGACCAACTGATCGTCCAACTGATCGACCAACTGATCGACCAACTGATCGACCAACTGATCGACCAACTGATCGACCAACTGATCGACCAACTGATCGACCAACTGATCGTCCAACTGGTCGACCAACTGATCGACCAACTGATCGTCCAACTGATCGACCAACTGATCGACCAACTGATCGACCAACTGATCGACCAACTGATCGACCAACTGATCGACCAACTGATCGTCCAACTGGTCGACCAACTGATCGACCAACTGATCGACCAACTGATCGACCAACTGATCGACCAAGTGATCGACCAACTGATCGACCAACTGATCGTCCAACTGGTCGACCAACTGATCGACCAACTGATCGACCAACTGATCGACCAACTGATCGACCAAGTGATCGACCAACTGATCGACCAACTGATCGTCCAACTGGTCGACCAACTGATCGACCAACTGATCGACCAACTGATCGTCCAACTGATCGTCCAACTGATCGACCAACTGATCGACCAACTGATCGACCAACTGATCGACCAACTGATCGTCTAACTGGTCGACCAACTGATCGTCCAACTGATCGTCCAACTCGCTTCTATCTAAAAACAAGCAGGGCCTAACCCTCGCAGCGTCTACTCAGCATTACACAATACAATATTTGAATCCAGTTCCGGTTATGAATCTTTAATATATGTAGGTACAAAAATATAACACGATTCTCATATAAATTTCTTAACACGAACGAGAAGAACTTGTACAAGAATTTACTAAGAATATGGAAATTCTTTGGATAAAAAATGTATTTATTGGCTGACCTTTGTGGATGCAACATCTACGCGTGACAATTAATTGTTAAGAAAAAATGTTGGTTATATGGTATATATATATATACTGGGTGGCGCAAAAGTAAAGACCCTATTTGGTTCAGGTATAACTTTTTTTCTAAATGAGAAAACTAGATTTAGGTTTTTTTAAATGTTATATTTGTGCCATTAAATTTCGTACCATTAGGATTTAAAGATGATGTCTTTTAAATGATGACCTCCAGAGTTATATATATATATATATATACATATTACTTAATATATAAAATTAATATTTTTTATTTATTTATATGAAATTGGTCAAGAATTTTCTTTTCTACTTTAATCAAATGAACAGATGTATTCAAGGTGTAATGCTTTTGGCTTCTGTAAATTTTTGTTGTACTTACCTTTCTTGAATAAGTAGAAAAATATCATTCATTCTTGTATAAATATGGATAAATAATTGGAATCTCGGAATCGGCTCGAACGATTTTCATGAAATTTAGTATATAGGGGCTTTGGGGGACTATATATCGATCTATAAAATAACAAAAAAGAGGCGTTTAAAATATGACTCTTCCTGACATCTATTAGCGAATAGTAAAACTATTTTTTGCTAATTGCTTGTAACAATTGTTTGAACGACACAACAGCAGATGGCGTTGTTAAGTAACAGGGAGTTAATGACTGCTTGTTTTAAGGTTAGACTAAGAAATTAATTGTTGATTTATATTGTTTTGTCTTCTTAACGTGTTCACTTAAAATGCTTACACGAAATGAAAAAAAAAAACACAAAATAAATACTAATAATTCCACATAACCAGATATTATCTATAGTATTAGACAATTTATATTGGAACATAGAGAGTTCAAGTTATTCTGGTGTTAAATACTACATCGATACTTATCCAGTATATAGGAACGTCATTCACCCATATGCAGGAAGAAAGGCCCTTATACAAGATAGAACTGGTATGAAAGTGTAGAAGCAAAAAAGGTCTCTGACCACGTCAGAGGGACGAGAATTTAAAAAAAAGTCACTCACCCTGACGACGGCGGGGTTGTTGTCACATAGATGCAGCAGGAAACAGGGTAGGGAGCTTATAGCGTGGTCTCCGAGTGCCCCACGATGGACCTTAGACGCTAGGAGCCCAAATAATCTGATGGAGTTCTCCCGTAGGTGGCAATTGTCGGTGTTCATGAAGGGTCGTATCTTCTGAGAGATGGCAACCAGTTCTCGTTCAAACTCCTTGTCTATTTCGTCTGTTTCTGTGAGGAACCGACTGAGGCCTTGTATGGCTGCTAGCGGCACGTTGTCTATTGTCGACCTGTCAGACATATTAGTATTGTTAACACTTTAATATCATTAAGGATAATTTTAATTTTAAAATGTTCTACATAAAATTTGAGATAAAAGGAAAGTTTCTTAAAAAACACGCAGTATCCGAAAACTTTAGTTTCATAAAGATGATAGTGAATGAGGTATATTCTTAAACAGTATAATATAATATCTGATTCTTAAAAATTGTAATGACAAATTCCTCTTTGAATATAATAATTCTATAATAATATCCATATTTCGTATTAGATGTTAGCAACCCTACAGATTCTGAAGGTAGATGGTATATAATCTATAATCTATCTGTGTCATCCCTCCCCCTGTAGTATAGTAGTACATAGTAGTGTGCGCGTCTATTCCCTGTATATTCATCTATCTGTCTGTGTTGTCTCCATACTGATATCCCCTCCCCTGCCACCTATCCCCCATGTTCGTATACTCACATAGTAGTCTGCGCGTCTATTCCCTGGCTGAGCGCGGTGAGTGCGGCGGGCGCGGCGTGTTCCCTGTGCTCCGGCGCCAGGCGCCACACGTTAGCAGCGGCCCTCAGACACGCGCACCTCACGCGCCCGTCGCCGTCCTTCCAGCCCGTCGACAGGGAAGATAGCACCGTCTCGATCAACACGCTGTTGTCGTTACATCTGACGACAACAACAAAAAGTAATATGTATTAGGAAAGATAATATTATACAGGGTGACTGGTGAATTACTATCAATATTTAAGGAGCATACTCGGTACATGATTCTCATTCGAATTATGTAAAAAAAATAGGTACTTAATTTTTGACCAAATTTCCGTATAAATGAATAAAGTGTGTACACGTTCCAAGTGTTCCAAGTGTGGACGCGTGCGGCGGCGTGCTGATACAACACTACGCTGCCGCCGCGTCTGTGTGAGTGTGTGTGTATACCTAATCTGTAGGGTGTTCATACGATGCGTAATTAATTACATAACTTTTGGTTAACTTTACTTAGAAGTTTATTAATATTTATGTCATATTAATTTTTATTTTGTCATATATGATCGTCAAATATTACGTCCTCAAATATCGATAGTAATTCACCAGTCACCCTGTATATGTAAAATGTTTTAAAAATTTTGATTAAAGACAAACTTTCATAATATTCAATTTAAAACTACCCTCTTAAATAGAACACACTAAGCAAGTAGACATTTCTATCGTAATAATAGCTAAGGATGGACATTTATGTCTCTAAACTTTAACCCTTTAACGGTCATAAGGAGTGGACAGTGGAAAAACAAAATTGATGTTGGTTAGAGGTATATAATAGAAGTAAAAACATATGTATATATAAGTATATATTTGTCAAACCTTTCATTATCAAACTGTCTATTGACAATCATAAAAGTAGCCTCAATAAAAAAATACGACCGGTGGACGAAATGTAGGTAAAAAAAAATCATGGTGGTGAAAATATCCCCTCTAACTTATAAAGGGTTAAGACGTCTTTACTGTGAATGTTAATACGAGTCATTATCCATGTCACCTGTAGTTCAACAGATCCGCTAGTAAGGCAAGTGCAGCACATCTCTGCGGCGGGAGAGGTGAGCGCGAGTAGTGCGCCACCCGCGACACCACCTTGTGCAGGGCGGGAGACGCACTGAGCGCCGCGGATAGCACCGGCGCCAGCTCCAACAGGGTCGCGGTGCTGTCACCGTGCTCCACGCTCAGGCATAGAGAACACGCCTCTTTAACCTGGATATTGTGAAGGAATCCATCAGTACAAAAAAATTCGTGACTATTCAAAATTTTGGATCATTGACCATTGAATTTTTTTGTTAATTGTGACCTCTGGAATATTGAATAAAAAATATTTAAATGTCTATATTCTGAATACAATTCTTTGTGAGTCTCTAATCTTATATATTTAAATGAGCAATTCTATATACATATTTATTGAAATCTCGGAATCCGCTCCAACGATTTTCATGAAATTTAGTATGTAAGGGATATCGGGGGCGATAAATCCATCTAGCTAGGAATTATTTTTAGAAAATGTAATTTTAATAAAAAAAAATACAAAAGGAGTCGTTTAAAATATGACTCCTACTGACATCTATTGGCGAATAGTAATACTACTTTTTGCTATAGAAAAAATTTATGTGAAACTTATTATATCATTGTCTGTCCATGCTTAAACAATAAAGAATATGGCATTTTATCTAGCCCACAAAGACTATTCACGATAATTATTTAATTTACATTTTTAATAATATTTTAAAATGCATACTCCTATCTAGCCTTCCCATTTATGAATTAAAATGAACTTATGGCTGAAAACTTAAAAAAAAAACTATTATGTTTTCTATTTAATATGGTCATACGCTTTAATAAACATCGAAACATATAATATAACTTATTTTCGAGTCATATTACAATTCTGTCACTTCATCTGGCGGAAATCAAAGACTTAAAAATTTATTAAAAATCACAACTTTGTGTTTTTGATCTTAAAGAATGGGAAAAAAACTGTTTGATATTAGAGGCAAGCTAAATAATTCGAGCGAAAAAAAATTTGGATCAGTTTTCTATAAACTTTCGGAAAGTAATTTTGTGCCAGTCGTTGGAGTATTTACTTTGGTATGCATATATATTTGTATTTTATCGTTACGAAATTATTAATTTCTATAATCAATGTTTATTGTCCGTAGATGTCATATATTAACCTAAACTAATGTAAAAAAAGTGACTGATGTTAATATTAATACATTATGTGTGATTTTGTCACTTGTCTAGCGTTACTCCTCTGGAATATTACATACATCATAGCCAGAGGAGTGAATTTTTTTTAAAATCAATAAATAGAAGTAGACAGACGGTTTATTTAATATTAGTCAACTTTCTTAGCTAATAATAATCAATGGTATGACAATATTCTGCTTTGATTTGTTACTACTCTGGCAACAATGTCACTCTTCTGGTAACACATTTCCCTCTGGTGCTTATAAAACTGAAAAAAATAATAATAATCGTCTGGCCCCTGTGATTACTAATTTTAATATAGTGTCAAATAAGTAAATTATAAATATTGAATGCTACCGATAACATTTCCTTCTGGGACACGAAAAAACCAAATAGCGTATATTCACCCTTGTGTTGTGTCTTCTTATAACGTATTCACATGAAAAAGCCAAAACGAAAAAAAAACACAAAATAAATACTAACAATTCCTAAATACCGAGCAAAGCTCGGTAACCAGACATTAGATGTTAATCACTATGTTAGACAGTACTTACAACATGAGGTCAGTAACTCTATGTACCTTATAACAATCCGCTCGCTCGAGGAACACGTTGAAGGTGTTGATGGTGATCCTCGCCGGTGACAGCTTGATGGCCTCTCTGTTGGGTATGAATCCGAAGCGGTCCTGGTTCTTGTGTGGCAGACTGTACGCCGGTGGCTCAGCCTCTATGTAACACGCCAGAGTCGTGTACAGTACTGAAAACAGCTCCGGGAACTTGGCCAGACAAGTTTCTCTCATCGATAACTCTTGCAGCATCTCCCCCAAAGCGCTTATCAGCTGGAAATTAATTTGAAATCTCTTTATATTGTATGTATGTATAGTACAAACTTCGATATAGATTTTGGTTAAGATTTTTAATGAAGAAAAATCGTTAATAGAATTTCTAATAGAATATCTTATGAATCAGTATTTTTTCTAATAATGTGATAACAAGTGATATTAAACATAATATGTACTGTCGTTAAAGTTCATTGTGATACAGGTTACAACAATAAATATAAATATATAAACAAAGAACCGTATGATTCATGTGTGTTATGACGTGTCATAATGTATCGTGCATTGTTCAATAAATCTCAACGGCCTTACGGTCAGAGGCTGTAAGGCGGCCACGTGATTCTCTGTGATGTGATAAGGGTCCTCGTACAGCTCGATGGAGGTCATCAGTCGCAAGAAGTTATCGACTATAGCTGAGGACAGAGTCTCGTCGCGGGCCAGATAACGCCAGCAAGATACAACCGAACTGGAACAATATGCTTCCTTTAGACATTGTTTGGCTAATATAGTCCTTGTTATTGTTACAAAAGGTAAATTTTCGAGCTTACGGTATTAAAGGCAGCTTTTGTGCTAACAGCACGGCTGTCACGGCGTTGGAATGATGACGCGTCAGTGACGTCACAGGCCTCATGAGTCTAATACGAGCGTCGTGGCCGACCTCGTCCATAGTGGCCAATAAGACCTCTACTATCCTCTCGATGTTCTGGAACAGGTCTTGACCTTTCTGCACGATGAATGCGTCCAGTACAGAGCTGATACCAACGCTCCTGAACTCCTGGTCGTCGTAACCGTCCAACAGACTCTCAACAAACTGCATGTTATGCAGATGTGGTATTTTATGAGATATCGTATCACACAGATTGGTGCAGTAGTCGCTGATCATATTCAAGTCGTTAGTAAGCACGTTATTTTGTAACTTCGTTAGACCATGTATACATTCGTCTTCGGGGTTCATGGTGTGACCTTCGTACAGGTCCTGTATCTGTATGACGAGTTTGATGCAGTCTATTGTTGTTAATCTGACAGCGAAGTTCGAGTCGGCTACTCCGGGTACGATGATACCCAGAAGATATCCCATTTGTCCGAATTTACTTGGAGTTTCGTAGTTGAGTTTCACGTTTTTAATGTATGCATCGAAAACCACTTGCAATATCAGCGTAGCTGCAGTGCGGATTTCGTCATTATCGTGGCGGATCCACTCGATCGATAGACTGACAATATCGTCGATAGTACTGAGACATGTTGACTGAATGATCAGTTCCTTAATTAATTCATGTAACAGTGTGAGGGAATCGTTTAATGTTTTAGCGAGCAAGTCGTTCTGGTCGCCGTTCTTTTCGATTTCATATTTCTGTTTAAACGAAGACAGTTCACCGAAGATGCTGCTGAATAAAACTCTTAATATGGTATTTCTCTCTTCAGGCAAAATGCCCTTCTGCAACTTTGTCAACGCTTTAGAAGCCTTCACCACGATTGGGTATAATTCGACCTGTCGCTTGTCGAGGTTACTGTTATATATTTGTTCCAGCACCGCGTTTAATAACTGCCAACGATTTCTTAACGCGACATTGTGATGTGCCGCTGGATACAGAGCCTTACTTATTTCATAAAGCGTCGTCACACTGGCTTTGCACAAATCAAAAGGCGGATTCGATTTCAATATTTCGTAAAGTATGGAAGTTATATTTTCGCCTAATCTGGCCAGGACGTGAACATCCAAGCATTCGTTAGCAACTTTACCGTAGCAAGTTATTACGGCATATTTAACAATAGATAATTCGAGTTCGTTCTTCGAGGCTCTCGTTGACAAGAAATTCAGGAGTTTATTGCCTCGTCTCGCTTCATTTTCTTTATATATAGCATCAAGTTCATTGAGAACACATTCTCCATGAACCCTGGACGCGATACCGACCGCTTTGCTCACATAGTCTACACTCGCCATGGGAATCGATTTCAGAGCGAGCAGTATTATCTTGAGAACTGTTTCTACGACTGCCGCATTGGACAAGTGACATGAAAGTATTGCTAAATATTGAAGTGAAACTCCTTTAAACATCGGCGCTAGTTTTTTCCCCATAATTTGCTGTGACACCAATGTCGATATCGTTTCCACCCATTTATTACTATTAACCTCTTCTATGGCTGACACTAAGAGATCCAAAAGCATCCCGTGCCATTGTTCTTTGGATTCGTTTTTTTCGACAAACTTCAATAACCGTTGTATTTCGATGGTCCATTTATTTTTCAAATTCTTATGAACGTCACCGGAAAATTCATCTAAGAAGACCAGTACGTTTTTATTAGTTTCGGTTTGGTCAGGGTCCACAATTTGAATCATACATCTGACAAAAACTAAATCTGGTGAACAGTTTAATTTCAATCTCTCTATTCTATCAGACTGCTCATCGGGAATAACATCTGAATTATTTTGAAGGAGGGAGGTCAGACAGTGGCTGACTGTCGACATCGAGGCGGTGAACTCATCTACAGTCAGCGAATTCAATAACAAATTACGTAATTGAGATCGCACGCTAGTAACAGTATTACACATGAGTATGAGAGAACTTTTACAAGTGTCCTGTAGATCTAGAACTTCGGCCTTCGTCGTTGTGGGAGTACCCTCGTATCCGCAGTGCTTTATTATAAACTCCACCATCACGAAATCCTCCGGTGACATTATACAGTTCCTGTACACGAGACCCACTATGGCCTTGACGAGGAGCTTCTTCATCTTCACGCCCTGTTCCATCACGATCATCACTTTCAAAATCGTTATGAACTTTGACGAGAAATGTTCGATGAATATTTGCGAGGACGTCGTTAGGTGGGTTAATATTATGACAGCTTTCATTCTGTCTTTCTCTTGGTTATGTTTACAGTGATGCAATAGACTCTCGACGGTCTGGTCTGAAAACTGCGTCGTCATGTGATCGAAGCAGCGGAGTACTTCAAAGTGATTCTTGACGGTGTGAGGCTGATCGTAATCTGGCTCCAACAGGACCAGGTTGAACAACACGTTATTGATGGAATTTATGACATTGTCATTCAACGTAAGTTTTGGATTTAAGGGCGAGGGTGACAATAAGTATGATATGCATTGACTGATGCAGTAGAAGTTGATCGCTGGTTTGCGATACAAGGAAAGCAGTGACAGGACAAACTTGTTGACCGTTTCGTTGAACTGTCTCTCTGAGATGAGCCGTGTTATGGGACCGAGGGCTTCGAGGACTGATTCTGATACTTTAGGCTCATGACACGGCAGCCATTGATTGTACAACACGTCGAAGACTATAGTGAACTCCGTGACAAAATTGTCCTTTATAGATGTTATATTGTCGTTAGCAACATTGTCGCCTATTTGCTCGGACACAGCTACAGCGAAGTGGCCGAACGCTGAAAGTGAAATGTACATTCTACATATTCGAATATATCTACACTAAACTAATTAACGATTAAAAAAAACTTAAATAAGAGGAAGCATTATTTGTACTCAATTGAAATAATTAACTAGGCAAAATTTCAAAACATTTGTAAAACCTCCCACGCATTAGTGGTCATCTTAAGATATTGACAGTCTTGATGTTTAGAATCAAATAATCCACTGATATTACCCAAACATACCTAAAAAACAGAACAGGTAAATTGGCTTTGGTGGTAAAAAGTATCTGCAATACTTAAATACATAACTAGAGGATAAACATAAATTATTTTTGACAAAAGTGCCTAACAAAACGAAAAAATGTCCAAGACTGATATAAGTGAAGAAGCAATACGCGTTGAACATTGATGTTATCTGAAAGAAATGTACTCAACTCACCATAAGCGAAAGCTTGTTTTGATCCATCCTGTTTAACGAGAGGCAGTAACGGCAGCATTTTGCCAAGGATCTCCTTGACGTGCGGCACAAGTTCGTGCGTGTTGACTGCCGCGAGCGTGCCGAGAGTGTGCGCGATCGTGTAATGCGGCAGAGAGGCGGGTGATATCTGATCTATTAGAGATCGAAGTACCTTGGAAGGAAGAGTATTTGTATCGCATTTACATTACTGCCACCCAGAAAGTATGATGAGAAATAGTTATACGGATATATAGAAGGAAGCATTATTATATACAAAAAAATGAATTTACTGCAATAACATATATAAATAAATGTACAAATGTGTGTACAATTAAATATTTCTTTCTCATTGTTATACATAAATGATTTGACATAATAATCTTCAAAACATTAATATTTAAAATTTGTGTTAATTTGACTCAATATATTGTAATCGATACATTTGTGATGATACAAATAACAAAATAACAAGTAACAGAATACTAACATGTAGGACAAACTGGTTTTTGAACAACATAACAAATATTGCATAAGAATACATAATGTGTAATAATCTATTTACAACAGTTTTAGTATCTTTGGCTAATATTGTTATGATTTTTATATTCCACCTATATACAAGAATATTTTGCATTTTTTATCCAATTCATTGACAACTTTCTGTAATTTTTTTTTAAATTGACTAACATCACAAAAACAACTATGAAATTTACATAAAAATTTTAATGAGGCCATAAAATATCTAAATTTTGAATTCTAAATTATATATGACCTTCAAAATGTTTATAACTGAGTAAAAATTATCAAGATAAAAACCAAAATGGACAAATTTATAAAGAAAATAAGACTAAGCTTAGCAAACTATTATGTAGTTTATATTATTTTTTACATTTGCTACATTTTATAATAATTTCATCAATTATTTAAGGATTACATTTTCACCATTACAACATATATTAGAATCCTTCATGAACAATAAGCATATATTAAAATAGACAAAAAGTTGCAATAATTCAACTCACCAGATCTAAGTACTCATGACTGATGGCAACCAGAACTGATGATGCCCCCATCTGAACTATTGGTTCATAGGTAGGATTCTCTGTCATGGCCCGAAGCATTGCATTAACAAGTTCTTTGGCTACATTTTGATTGATTTTCTTAAGCTGATTCACACATGTTTGTTCTAATACCCTGTAGTATGAATATTATGAGCTATTTTATCAGTGCATTTTTATAATAAGTATATTAAAACTACAATACATGGTACTTAATGTAGAAAAATTTAACATTTCATTCCCAAGAATAAACAAATATACATTGACAAACTCATGTTTTGACTGGATAAGATAATAGATACCTCTGAAACAATAATTAAATCTATCACAACGTACTTTACTAGGTTTCCCAACTGAATAACATTACTCTTAAGTGTATTGCGGTAGAATTCGCAAAATATCTCGATAACTTCATTTGGATGTACATTAGATATCTTCACCAGAGATTTAATTATAACATTGTTGACTGTATTATCATTATCTCCAATAGCGTTTATGAGCACAGTCACCGTATCTGCAAACAATAATAAATGCATATGGTAACTAATACGAAACTTGATCGAACATATATAGTTTCAACTATTATTTATACCTTTTAAGTATTCTGATATTGAAGAAGACATGACCCGCTTTGTTAAGATTCAATTTATGCACTTATTCACCATTCAACTATCTGTTTTCACGAATACGTTGAATCCTACAAAATTAAATTTTCATCTCTGATATGTCAGACGTCATTTGAATGAGTTTAGCACAATGACATTTCATGTCTGATGTTGCTATAAAGCTATATTTCTTTTGAATATAATATGACAAACATATTTTAAAGTGAATTAAATGTAATCATCGATATCAGTCATACATTTTACTTCCTTTACAGAATATGTTTTTAAATCGTTATTTTTATTTGTGCAATATAATAAAATAGTCCTTTTCGCAAAAGATGAAACTTTAATATTTGATTATATTAAACTTTATCCATTAACTAGCTTCAAGTTATTATAAATTGCTTCTTAAGGTGACTTTCATGTAAAAATATTCTTGAATTTCATAATGTCTGCGTTACGTGTATCAAAATTTAACAAAACCGGTATATTTTTAACTTAGATTGTTAATAAATAAATTTCCAAAAAAACATATTATTCTGTTTCTACATTTATTTCCTATCAGATCTTTTTATACCTATTTATAATATATTTTATATACTGGAGCATAAATATAGAAAATATCTACATAGTATGATATATTTTTATGTTAAAAAGGGAAAAACAGTTCAAAAGAGTCGCATTTATTTATGTAATACAATATTTTTTAATTGCACAAGGACGATTTATGTACTTTTTTAATGCCTGCGGTGTACATTTTTTAAATAAAAGTTGTAAGAAACTTATAAAAAAACTCAATTTTTTTTTTCACAGAGCTTTACATTGTGCTTTAGTCTTTTACTGTTAAACGACATCAATGATTAGTCTATGCTTTTTATTGGAAGAAGGTGGGCGATGAGCAATGTTCTTACAAAATTCGCTTTCATGCAAATCGCGAAATATTACGTGCAACTCCATTGATCGCTAAGATTTTACTTAATGAGAAGCCTTTGTTAAGTTAATAAATTAAATTTATTAATTTACAAAAGAGAGAATTATTTCTTAGTCGAATTCACATAGGACTTTCACCGGATACATCGATAATTAGATTATTCATTTAGAGGTTGAAAATCTCAAGTTTTATTATAAAAGTTTGATATAATCTTACAATGTATGCGTGCGTATGGTCAGTTACTCTTTTAACTCTGTGATGTACTGTGTGGTTCGTTTAAGTGACAAAGCAAAAGCGTTGGCTCCCACTCGACACTATTATCCCATCCGTGATTACGTTGCGCCGGGAACTGGGCACTCTTCTTAGTTGCCGCGGGGACTCCAAAGCGGTAAATACGGAGTCGCGAATCCTGCTCCGCATCATTTATCTCCAAGATTTCGGTAAGTGTACTTCCAAACCGATCTTAATCGGTTTTGTAATTCATAAATTCAGCAGTCGGACATTTCTCGCTACCTGACATTGAAGACCGTACGATCAGCTGCCATAAAGTCTTAAAATAGACGTAAAATAACGAGCCCCTTCTGGCAACGGAGGCAATCAGCTGATACAGACATTGTTTTAATTATAACCAATTAGATAATTATTTTACTATCGACTCTGGTCTGGCGATCAATTCATGTGCGATCGCGGCCTGATACTAAACGATCGAATTTTAACACTATTGGTTATTCTCTGCCTCTTACAGATCTGAAAATGGTGCAGCAGGATTTGACCTAGGTGTTGGGGCCGAGGGAACAAGTTAGTGACTGGGAGATGGGCTTAGTGAGCCAGGTGTGAAGACAGGCTGACTCAGTGTAGTGCAGTGTGGTGTAGTGTCTAGTCAGTGTGTTTAGAGCCGGTATGCCCTCCGTGATGTTGTCTGCGGTATTAGAAGAGGAGCCCGACCTATATGAGGCATTCCCCCCTCATGTTGATCCATCAGGAATAACTATTTTAACAGACAGCCCTCCAGGTATGTTCATAAACACTTTCTATATTAATTAGTTAATAATTTTCTTTTATGATTCATATTAAAATATCTGTTATATAATTTAAAGATAATTAAGAATTATCATAATATATTACATTTATCCTGATACTTAAAGATTTAATATATTGGTGTAGTCAATAAATTAAAGAACTAAATGAATATGTTTGAGCTAATTAATTTAATGAAAAGAATATCATCTCTATGAAAATATTCAAATGAATTTAAAATTCGACCTTTCATTGAGTATGTCCTTTGGCAAAACTAGCTTGCCTATAACATTGTGCACATGGCAATAGTTTGTATAGTATTGTGTAATTTATATTAAAAATATGAATGCCAAAGTAATTTCAATTTGAAAATGTAAGTTACAATACCCTTTACACATGCCTGTTAATTTATGAAACATGACTTATATTGTTGTTGCAAATGATTTGAATAATAAACACATAAGATAATATACTTGTAGATGTGATGATAAAATAACATACTTCTAGAAAATTTGTAATTTACAATGTATTAAAATAATATCACTTAAAGCTGAATCGAATGATTCTTAAAATTTTTATCAAATAATACTGATATCTCAAAGTAAATATGACACAATTCAAGATGTATCTAATAATTTGATAAGCGTTATAAAAAGAATTGCAGTGATTCATTCATACAATGTTTTAAATTGGTCTTGATTCAGACATCGGGCTGTATAGTTAAAGCCGTTGTGTATTTATGGATGACAGATTTTTTTTATTACTATATTTTCTATTTAATTTTTTTATGTATATTTTGGTAAATGTCAAATGTTCAATGATTTCTCTGAATTCTCATGTATTGTTGTGGATTTGTTTATGAAACACAGAGACATATTGTATGTTTGATGTCTAAACAGTGAAACAATAGGCTTCCATAACCTATGTTAAACTCAAATACAACCATGTTGGATACTCGAAAATATACGGTTATTATTATGTATTCATTATGTATGATTTGTTGTTCATACTGTGATTTTTGCATAAATATTAATGTCTAATTTCTATTACAATGGAAATCGTGACGTAGGACGTATTGCGAATTTCATTAATTATACTGATATAGGCTCCTAGAATCTACGTTTTCTCGATAAGAAGAAACAATTAGGCTAAATTATACAATAGATTGATAAAAAACGTATGAGATTATATGTGCAAGTTTTATCTAAAATACATCGAGATTTGCTGATAAGAGATGTAACTCGACACGAGACGCTCGCCGCTGATAAGGATGTTGTAACCCAGATATAGAAGAATTATAGAGTATATTTTTTCATATATGATACGGAATATTCATTTAAATTAATACGTAAGAGGATGTGCTTGAGCTAGCGACGGATTGAACTAGCAATAAATCATAATAATACTATAAATTAGAAAATAACTCTGTCTGCTTATAAGTCCGACATTTTCTATCTATTTTAAGTAATTTTTCTATATAGTATTTTAAGTAAATTTATCATAGTAACTTGAATATAGACTTCTTATTTTTTGATGATAGCGATAGGCATTAAAGAAACGGAACTGCGTGCAGATGTGAAGTCCAAAAGTTGGTGATACGAGCTTATGGCTAAGACGAAATAACGCATAATTTTCACACTTGTGATTTAATTTAAGTATAATGTGTCACTGTGTATGAAATATACAAATCAAATTACTAGAACGTACCAGAACGTTCGCTAGTCATTTCCTATTAACTTTCACGAAAATAAATAATTGTACCCTCCTCGCTAATATACTGTAATAACAGACTGCTTTCTTATTTCAAATTGCCATAATCATATCAATTGTTTTTTCCGTTATTGTATAAAAAGACCGAAAAATAACAAAGGGGGGGGGGGGGGAAGAGGGTTTAAATTTTGTAAAATTGGCTCATATTACTGGAAAATTAGTTAAGTTTTGTATTTTAACCAATGAAAAGTAAGATTAATGGGGTGATCACGAAACTTGGCGAACATCAACGATGAATACCGCGTCTTTAACTCATAAAGTGAAATGGTATTAGTATTATGACGTAAACGGTTTTAACAGTGAATTGTACTTGTTTTAAAAATACTCCGATTTCTTTCAGTAATTCGTTAATTATAGCATTAATAAATATCTAGATAACTTGAACAAAATCTAAATTAGTAAAAAGAGTATTAGCCAATTAATTATGTATATGCCAAGCGGTTATGTACAGGAGAATATATTTTGTCTCATAAGGTAGACAAATAGAGTTTTACAACCTGGCGCTGTCGTTCCAAAATAATAAATATTTTACGATATTTTCGATACTAGCGCGACATAAGGTGTCAAATGAATTTAGTGCAATTTGGTAGTATGTAGTATTTAAGCTCTTTGACATAAACGAGTATAAAACAATAATTGATCCTTAAATAAGGCGTTAAAAATCAATCGGAGATCTTATTGTTAATAATGTAGTTCTAAATAATAAAAGCAAGAAATAAATACATCAATATATAAAAGTAACCACAATATTAAATAGACTACTTAATTTTTAATGGCTATATTTAATTACATTTATGCCGTGGGTTATAAAAAGTCTGAGATTAATGAACAATGAGCTGTTAATGTGGCCACGTTTATTGACAATGAATCTGAGGAAACCAGATTTGTTAGGATTTACGAGTACAGTTAACGTGATAATACATTCATACACATACGGAAAAAATATTAATATTATACATATATAAATTTATTTTAATTTCATAAAATTACATACACTAGTTCAAAGTTTTTAGCTAAATATATAACAGAGGTATTCTCGCTAAGCTTTCGCATAATTATATGATTGTTATGTACAAAATCTTTATACCTGACTACTGTAAGAATTAAGTCAAATATTGTTTTAATTCCAAACAGTTATGTTTAACTAGCCCAATCTCTGAGACTTGTTTATACGTATATGTATAAGACGTGTGTTATATGTATATACAAATATTTAATCCCGCTTGCTGTATGTAATCTTATCATTGCAAAACATTTAATAAGTAATAAGAACGTTTATGTTTCATTGCACGCGTCCAGCATCACATGGATTGTGGTACTTTTGTTAATGATGACATTTAATTTGTTCAATATTCGTGGTTTACTGTTTCAGTAATACGTCTGATATTCGAGGGTTTAAACAGAAATAGAGAACGGTTATTTGTTTATATAAAAGTATTATCACGGATTTAAACGTATAAAATAGATAAATCCTAGTTAATAATGGTGGAATATTAAGAGCCTGAGTTGATGATGGCAATTAGTACTGATTGGAAAAATTCGTTTTAAATATTTATGTGCAAATATGTGATCAGCTATCGTGTGATTTAATAGTGCTATCAAAAATTTGTTGAATCCTCTAATTAGAATGCAACTTCTTGATCTGGTGATGCGAAATGAAAAAGGTGTGTATTTTTTATTATATTCAAGTATGTCAACAGGACATTTTGACAAAGCAACTTAAAATTCTATTAAAATATATAAAAAATATGTTAGTAAAATTACACTTACTGTTTTTACAACAACCTTTGTGTACGTCTGATAATACAGGAACAATTTGGAACAAATTTAATATGTACTTAGTTATGGTGAACAGGCCTGGCTAATGCGTAGTACTTTCGTCCACAATGGGATCGAATCCTACATGTAATAATATTAAAAATAACATGCATTACACTTTAATATAAAGATAATATCATCTTAATTAACAGATCACTATTACGAAACACATACCAACGGATAAAACATTATTTTTATATATAGAATGGAATTGTGTCGAGTGTCTTAAATCTCAATTTTTACGTACTGCAAGTGATGCTAGCGTTATTTGGAACGCGTTCAGATTTCTTTGTATTGATATTATAATAGGGAATTCTTTTTAATCGCGATGATTCAGATTAGACTTTATTTATCGTTATTTTCATAGGATTTTGGTAGATTATCCGCTAAGTCGATTCCAGGTATCACCTTGCGTTGTGTGGCTTGGATAATCATTATATTAGGCGAATTTTATAAACGGTTTATATAAAAAATAAATATGTATATATAATTATATGTATTTTATATAGAGCGGTTGGTTTGGCTCGTGTTGTCAATAAGGATATAGTAGTGACATCTATCATAATACTATAGTGTAAATAATAATTGTTAATATTTGATTTACAATCTGTGTCGTTAGATGTCAGCAGTGGTTATTTTTGTTTTGTTTTTGAATGATTATTTTTTAATTCCGTATTTGAGTTAATGCTTCATAAACTTCCAAGCAATATCATCTATTATTCAATATTGAATTTTTATAATAAATGATTATTATTTTTATACATTTACGAGAGGTTGGTGTATTTGTTTTCTGTTAAGCAAAAATCCACTGAACTTCCTTGGTTATAAAACTTTTATAGTTATCAGAATGCTATTGGTTAATGTTTACACGCATGTTTAATCTCACCGCAGCCTGGCTGTGATTGATAAATAAAAATATTTAACCGTCTCATCCGAATTGAACTCGTGTCTGAAAACCACTCTATAGTGATTATGAGAAAAACATATTTGTACAAGTTCACAAATAAATCGTGATGATATTATTCCGAACTAAAATTGATGAAGTGTGAATTACATCACTTATAATAGATACGTAGGTTTTAATGGATTTATTTATTGTTAGTGTTATAATATTAAATGTATTAAGATTTTTAAAAATAAGTTTATCCGTCTAATACATCTATATTCTATATATTTTCTTTGTGGTACAGTTTTTCAATCAGCACACGGCCAGAATACTTTTCTAGTAACTTAAAAAATTAATTCTGTATATAATCTTAGTTTGTATTTAGATGTGGAAGAAATAATTGTAAACCTATCTTCTAAGAGATCAATTTCATCAATAAAGACCACTCTTATAAATAAACTTATTGGAATAACGAAGCAATAGAACCCGTAACTGAAAGTGACTAAAGATGTTCTGTCTTTAGATGTTTTCAAGTTCTCATAAGTATTATGATATAGAACAATAATAAAATGTCAAACAGCGCAAGGTGAAAGAAATATGCGTAGTCGAAAACCAATACAAATTTTGTCTCGGTATCATGGGCGTTATTTCTTAACCAGGTTCATGGCAATACAAGTTTTGACACATTCATTCATTATTTAGTAAAATAGTTGTATCAAATTAATTTATTATAATATACGGAATCCTCAGGCACTAATATAAAATAGCATTCGACCAGTATTTTTTTTAACTTTCATATTTAAAACGACTTAAATTTTACTGTCTCATTTTTTCTTCTAACCAATAATTAACAAGTAATTATAATAATGGCACAACACATTAACGTCTGCAATTAATGTTTATTAACTATAAAGAAAAAAGATATGAACACATGCTGGGTTTTGTAGAAAAAAATATAATTTCTGTATCTACTAGGGTTGGCGCCTTGCTTATGCATATTTTAAAACTTTTAATTCTTTTCTATTGATTTTGTTTAGAGGCGTTCATAAAACTTTTTCATTAAACAACCCTTACTTTTCTCTGTAAAATATACTTCATGGAAATGGAAAATTCCATTTAAATATCACTTAAGACTTTCGTCTCTTTAAAATAGAGAAAGAAAATAATAAACGTTGTTTACTCGTATGTTTTGGCATCACACACTTGATGAAACATATGTATATAGTTATATTGCAATAACAAACAAGATAATAAAAATTTATATAAATTAACAGACAAAAGGATCATTTGTCAAGAATGTATATTGAATTCAATGGGAAAAATGTATATACATAGAAATAAGTCGTAATATATATTTATTGAATAATGAATCATTAAAAATATATTTTATATGATAATGATATTAATATTGATTATGATACATTAATCGTGAATGCTACTTACATGATAAAATTCTAAAATCCTAAAAATCAAACACTAAATACGATAGTTTTATTTCATATAACACAATATACTTTTGATAATGACACAGCCACAGGTAACATTTCTCTTACAATTCAAAGCACTGTAAATGATTATTCTGTTAGATAATGTTGAGTAGTTTTTATCGTTGTATGACGAACTGATATCGCAATACTGTGTACGACTGAGAAAATATTTACCCTACAAGATTTAATTGTTGTACAGCAAAAATTTTATAATAATAGATTTTTTTTTAATTTTATTTTTCTTGTTTTATATCAACCACCATTCGATCAGTTTCGTTTTAAGTATTTATCATAATTTAAATTTTGACGAATATAAAAGATTAAAAGGAAAATATTATCAACAGTAATAAGAGAGATTTAATAAAAATACAATTATAATACAAGATTTAATTTATTAGTTAGTCTATATTTTATTGTTAAAACCGCAAACAACATAATAATAAGTATTGTTGTGACAATGTTTAACAATATAAATAATATTCCGCCAAAACAAGTTATATATAACTGCATATATAAGGGTTTGTGATAACCTCTTTATCAACTTGCTACCAGTTAACCCTATCAAAGAGCAGGTGGTCTGAAAGACGCTACAAGGGATTCTATTTCTTATTATTGACATATTTGTCCCTTCACTTTATTTGCTTTGGATAGGTGTCTTTAAAATTTCAATATTGTCCAAAAGCTTTTGTATTGTTGGTGACTAATTCAACACTAATATCAAAGTCCATATATCCGTCTACTAAGTAATTCAACCATATTATGTAAAACCCATATACGACTACTAATTAATTCAGGAATATTCTATAAAGCCCATATATCCGACTTTTAAAAATAATATTGTTTTCTATAAAGCCTATATTTCCGACTAGTAAATAATTCAGCACTATTCTATAAAGCCAATTTATCCAACTAGTGAAACAAGCCGTAAATCTTATAATATTAGCTATATGAATTTATAAATACTTCATAAGTTTTGATTTATAACATAATGAAAATAAAAATAAAACGTGGACAACATTCTGAGTGCACAATTAATCACTTTGAGAATACTGCGTAATAATCATATGCACGTTATGTATACTGTTTGTTTTGTATACGTTGTGTGATAAACTCATTTAAATTGCCTGACGATTTTTATAAGTATCGCCACTGCATTGATAACCTCACGTTATCAGTTCACAACAGTCTGCTTTCGATTCGGTGAGAGTAGAAATTTAACTTGAATGATTCTGTTTTATATATTAATGTATTTATTTGTATATAACCTTGAAATATTATGTAATTAATGTTTAAATCATCGTGTCATTATTGTTCAAAGTAATATCAAACGTAGTAGGTAAAAATCATTAATAAGCATTTACGGTATTTGAGATTTAGTTTTATAACTTATAATAATATTATCGTAGAACTGCATAACTATTGTTATGTGCCATTTGTTGTATGTACGTAAATATACGACTGACCGAGAACACTTTGGCTTTTATCCAAAATTAGTTTGGATGCCTTTGAAATCTGTTGCCTACTTTGCGAATTATTTGTAAAGAGTTATAATAAATTATGTATATTGCATTCGATCTATGATTTACTAGAAATAATATCGGAATTTTTATATATAGAACTACTTACCGTTTGTTTTAAAGGATGAAAATAATAAATTACTTGTTTTATAAATAATTTTTATTCTAATCTTAGTTGTATTGTTGTAATAATAGCACATGTACGGTGACGGTGTTAGATAAAGTGTAGTAAGAGTGCCGGCGCGCTATCTTATATTCGGGAGGCTGGCGGTGGCTGCGGCACGGCTCGGCACGTCGGCAGTCGTTAGTGCCGCAGGCGCGCGCGCATCGAAAGCATGTGCCCCGCGCCACCTTTGCGATGTACATAGAACCGGCCGCGTTCCGCGCTCAGAGCGCCGAATCACTCGCACACAACGAACAGATCCCCATATGGACGCAGTGCTTACCCTCACCCTTATTCGCAGGCAAGAAAGCGCCTCTGAAGACCTTCGAGGAACTGCAGCCGCTCCTCCAGCAGGGCCGCAAACGGGATCTCAAACTGCTCATCAGAGAGAACTCCTGGCCTATCAACAGCCCCATACGAGCGTCCCTCTGGCCGGCTCTCTGCCGACAGCATCAACATGGAAAGTCTATGCTCGATGGTTTCTATTGGGACATGGTTACACAGGTCAGTGATCTCACAACACATTTGTCACCGCAAGGTTATTAACTTTCGCTTCGTTAGAAATATAAACCATTTTTTTTAATATTATTTAGGAGATCTTTCTTATCTCGCACAAACCGTGTATACAGCGTCTAAGGTCGCGCTAATTTGCTTTGTTTAACGCCGCCCAAATATTTGTGTCATATCTTGCCCTCTGATAAGAAAGTGACGTTCGTTCCAGCCAAGGTCGTCTATTCGAATTTTCATTCAGGTTAAGATAAGTCGTCTTTCTCGAATATTAAGTGTAACAAACAACTACATTTTGTTACACTTTTTTCTTTTTATTTAAACTCAAACAATTTTCTTTTAAATTAAAAATAAACTATTCAATTTAAAAATGTATAAAGCCTTGACTATTTTTATTTCAAAACAGGACACAGGTCTTAATTCAGTAAATATGTTTATTAATGCATTGTAAATATTGTCTTAAGTCGAAATGAACATTGTTTTTCCAACTACGAATGCTCGTCCTAACACAAGTCTCACAATTTTTGAAAATAATTAAATAACTATATTCATATTAAAAAGTTAATTAAAGACTAAAGATATATAGTGATATACAAAGTCACTGTTTCATAAACATTTGTAATATAGGTCCAGTAACTATTTAAAATTCACAGACGTGTAGAGCATAAAATTTTCTGATTTTAAAGCGAATTCGCAATGGAAAATTAATGTGTGTAAAATATTTTTTTACGTGTGATGCGTGTGAAACAGCAAAACAAATATGTCGTTACGCTATTGAAATATGGCCTTTATGTAAATGGATGTAAAGAAAACGTATGTATCCGTGAGTCATATCATAGCGAAATGTTTGTTGGGATAACTTTAGGCGAGTCCTTGCGTTCGATATCAACGTGCGCGCGCGCATCCAACACGTCTCTGGCATTACAATTAGCCTCAACAATGGCCACACCGCTATGAGCTTGATGTCGATGAAAATTGACCATTCCGAGCTGTTATTGTTTTACAATGTTAGGAAATCTTTTTTACGCCTACCATTATAAAGTGTAGCAATAGTCATACTGAAGGTCAGCTAGGTGGAATAATATTACTATTTAAAGGGCTGTCACACATACTATACATTATTATAATCTGTTTTATATAATACTAGTGTTTAAAAGGGCACTTATTGTCCTTTGTCTTTACTATATGTCTGTTGAGTTACAAAACATATTATTTACTAAGTCTATTTATTATCATTTAATCTATTGGACACTTATTTAGACACTTATCATGTTGTTAGTACGTCATTATACTGTTTATTTCAGTCTAAATATGTCACCAATTAATAAATGATCAAGTCAATATAATTATAAAGTTTATTATAACGATCTGGTCGGAATAAAATCATTACTAATATCTTGGTCAAGGTTACCGTTTAAATATATTCTATCTGAACGTCATTTGTCATCCGTTTGGTAGATACGATAAAAAAGGAAGACAAATAAACATCGATTTGCTTGTATTTTGGTATACGTTATGTTCCCGATGTTATTTGTTCGGATCGCGTTGGCACGGCGTCAAATGACCAGTTAACCTTCGTCATAAGTAACAGGTGATCTAAGTGCAGCGCAGCAAAAACATTTCCTTCCGTTGTTGCTTTAAAATTAAACGTATACCGATATATGACTAACGTTGTTTAATGTTATTGTGATACAGATGAATTTTTATCACATATAGGCATGACGGGACCCATTTATATATTTGTTGATTTAAATTTTAGATCCAAGATTATAGTAAGTCAAATCGGTAAACATACGAGTGTATAGTATATTTCAAATTTAATATTCACCATAATAAAATATTTAAATAGCAATAGAATTAAATTTAAGTACTATTAATACTCCGATAACAATAGAATGGTTTTATATAAAGAAAGCGATATATTCTGGTACATTGTTAAAGTAAAATTATTGTCAATAATACTCAGTGAGCCGGTTCACCTTCAAAGACTGCGCTCTACGCACATGACTCGATACACGTATGTGCCTTAATGTGTATGTAGGCTTTGTGCAACTTGTACGTTGTTTTTTGTAAACAAAGTTTTATAATTTATTTCAAAGGTAATAATTTTTTCTTCTAACTCAACAAGGGCTTTATTATTCTCTTGTTTTCCTCGTGACGCAAGTGAATAGGATTTCATTGCGTGACAAACTTCAGAGATGATTCAGGTAGCATTACTCCGACCACGTGGCGGCAACAAGGCGATGGAGGCGCTCGCCAAGTTTCCGATTTTCTCGGAAATAACTCGAATATTGTATCTGATATTTTCCGTTCATAGATGACATCACTCTTGGCTTTCCTTACCAAATAATTAACGAAATTTTTTACTTGTGACTATTTGGAAATGTTTATCTTATTAGTTTTGTATTATAAATGTATTAGTCAACTAAAGAAAATGTTAATTACACTTTAAATTTACCTTAATAAAGATTAAATTTAAATGACACGGAAAGAAGATTTATTTCGTGAGATAATATTAGGTGTAGCTTGTAAAACTGAGAGTAGTAGTGCTATCTAAAGATGCTTAGTCTTCATCTTCGTACACATGGTGTTTCATGAATAGGTTTTTAGATCAACCTTGCTCTTAAATCCGAATATTAAATAGGATTCCATTCGTATTAGAGTATGTCAATAGCATTCCTGATGTTGATTGTTTTGAAAGGCGTTCTCAATTCATATCACTTGTCACTCGGACTACCCTGGTTCTGTGCCAACGACTTTCGTGTCTTGACCTAGCGATGATGCGGTTTGTTTTTTCCAAGGTGCATTCTATATAATGATGTGTTTTTGTAATTTCAACATTGCTTCATTACGGAGAAGACATTGCAACGATAAAAATGCTTAAATATGTTCTTCAATCCGCCTCTATTTTGTTATATCTATGTAGATGATTTGATATGTTGATCGATATAAAAAAAAACTTTTTTTTTGGATTCTCTTTTTTTGTATACTCATAATATAATCATGGAGTTGGAACATACAGAGAACGTTTAATTTTATTACTATATATAATGCATATTGATTTAGGCTTGTGATTATTTTATAATCTTATTTTAGAATAAATAAACAAACTTGTTATACAGTATTCGTTTTCTATATAAATAAATATCTCAGTAACAAGAACTATCTTTATGTTTTCTTCGTTTTTTTAATTTTTATATATGTTTTATTGATCAAGAAAGTCATATTGATCTGACTTAATATTTGGTAATTAGTTTACAGGAATCGCAATCGATGTGTTATTGTTAATCTTTCTAGGTAAACCTAAATAACTCTATAATCTATTTCTATATGATTCAATGTCTAGTATTGCGGTAGTATTATCAACTGCCTTAAGTAACATATAGACTGTAGTTCTTTGTTCTCGTTTCAACTTTTATCTCAACACATTTTATTTGATTGTCCAATCAATAATGTAAGTGTTACAAATGTTATTTGTCATCAGCTGTGACGTCTTATTAAAGATATCATGACCTACAACAATAAAACACTTAACATTCCCTTATATATTAAAGAATGTTTTATTTATATATATGAATATCTTAAAAAGGATTTAAACTCATATTTTCTCATAGAAAACAAAGCCTTGGTGAAGCGTTATCGTATTGTAACAATTATCCGCTTCAGCAGTCATTCATAAAATATTTTTATGCAACATTATCTTTAAACAGAGATTATTTTTACGATGGTATTTTAATGCAGATATAATTATTTTATTATTTCAATATCTGTTTACCACCCAGCTATGTCCGTGATATAAAATTCGTGACGGCCGGTTTATTGACTAACATAGCGTTGCGCTCGAGCCGTGGCCGCGAGCCAATACCAAAAATATATCTTCACTTTGATTTTCTCACCTACATTGTGGTCACGTGGTTTATCATCTTTTATTTAAAACCGCATATTAAATTCTACTGAATTATCCATAAATAATTCTATACAACTATCGTACATAAAACATATTAAGAAATGTACCAAATAGATCGTGATGTATTATTGTATACAATGGATAGAAAAAAAATATGATCAGCTGATCGTGTAACCTTGACTTTGTATAACCGGCTGTCAGTATCGATGGCAGGAAGTGTAAGGAGACGAAGACTTCCTGTCCCCGCGAGGCTTCCCGCGTCGACCTTGAACTACCCCATACATGAGTCGTGACGAGTAACAAGTGCCCGTATGCGAAAACATTTCGTGGTACAAAAATTAATAGCATATAACAATTACTATATATATCATTTGATTCTGAGAAGCTCAAACGTTGTTTGGTAATCGAAATTGACACTTATTTTGCATGCAAATAAAAAGAGATATTAAAAAATATAAATATAATTTGATAGCGAATGTTTTTCTATTGAATCGTTTTGTAACAAAAAATTTTTGGTCCAAAAATTATTAAATAATTGTTATTGAAAGGTACAGTTTTAATTTGATAACGAAAGTTAATTTTATTCAGTGATAAATCGAATTTGAAACAAGTTTTTTTGTTTAAAATATAATGTTTCTATATATAAAAGTTATAAGATCACACTGTTAACTGTATCGTCACGAGTTTGCGTCGTAAAATACTTTAATACTGGCAGTATCAAAGTTTCCAGTCTTCCATTATTTCTATATTGAGATTGCGCGAAGATTTATGAATGGAAAAATAGTAACTGTATTGTGTCTTGAGGTGAAAACTTGCAATGATTTTTATGATTTATATTACTATATTTTATATATTAAAATATAATTAATTGATTCCGTTTTATTGGTATGATGATATTATGTATATATACAATAGTTTTTATTTCCTATTTATACTGATAAATACTATGAATTGGCAGTAAACAGTTGTGAATATACCTAGTACTACTATACTATACAATTGGGTTTTTGAATTATTTTTTTTTTTGTGATAAATGGAAAGATCATATATAAGTTTAATAACAAAACTATTTTTATTTTATTTTTTTTTG